TGCATTTCCTATATGGAGGTTGCATTCAGTGGCTGTGTTGTTGCATTCACTCACTGAGAGGTTGCATGCAGTGGCTGTGTAGGTTTCATTCAGTGGCTGTGTAGGTTTCATTCAGTGGCTGTGAGGTTTCATTCAGTGGCTGTGTAGGTTTCATTCAGTGGCTGTGAGGTTTCATTCAGTGGCTGTGAGGTTTCATTCAGTGGCTGTGCAGGTTTCATGCAGGAAACCTTCCATATAAGGCAGGGATGCATGTGTGCATTCCTAGATGCATGCACGCATTCCTAGATGCATGTGTGCATTCCTAGATGCATGTGCGCATTCCTAGATGCATGCACTGATGCTACACTCTTCTCTAGATGCATGCATGCATTCCTAGATGCATGTGCACATTCCTAGATGCATGCATGCACACATTCCTAGATGCATGCACCCTTTTCCTAGATGCATGCACTGGTGCTACACTCTTCTCTAGATGCATGTGCACATTCCTAGATGCATGCACCAATGCATGCACCAATGCTACACTGTTCTCTAGATGCATGTGCACTTTCCTAGATGCATGCACGCATTCCTAGATGCATGTGCACATTCCTAGATGCATGCACCCTTTCCTAGATGCATGCACGCATTCCTAGATGCATGCACCCTTTCCTAGATGCATGCATGCATTCCTAGATGCATGTGCACATTCCTAGATGCATGCACCCTTTCCTAGATGCATGCACGCATTCCTAGATGCATGTGCACATTCCTAGATGCATGCACCAATGCTACACTCTTCTCTAGATGCATGTACACTTTCCTAGATGCATGTGCACTTTCCTAGATGCATGCACGCTTTCCTAGATGCATGCACGGATGCATGCACGCTTTCCTAGATGCATGCACGGATGCATGCATGCTTTCCTAGATGCATGCACGGATGCTACACTCTTCGCTAGATGCATGCACCCTTTCCTAGATGCATGCGGACCCTGGGGCAGGGTCCGGAAAGTAGAATATTAGGGTTATTGTGCCCATTCTCACCTGCATTGACTCACCCCTTATTTCCCAGCTATCATCCCAGTTCACTCACCATTACTTTCCCTCGTCTGTAGCCCCTAGTCCCTTGTCATGTCTCATGTGTCCATAGTCACTAGTCCAAATCACCACCCATCACTTATTTTCTTGTCATCACTACTCACCAGTCAGTAGTCTGTAGTCGCATTTCAGTCGTCTGTCCTCACTTTCTAGCCACTCGGTCTTCATAGTCAGTAGTAGTCCCTCGTCACTCCCCAGTCCAGATAACCAACACATCCCTTACCTTCTATACTCATACTTTCCAGTTCAGCCTTCGTCCCTTGCCATCAGTAGTCTGTCATCACCACTTAGTCCTCATCCTTATCACTCACCTGTCTCTCTTGCTTTTTTCTCCTTTGGCCTCCCTAGTACCTGTTCCAGATAAGCAACCGGTCGCTTGTTTTTCCCAGTCCCTGTCGCTGCCACATGTACAAATCCCTGCTCTTCTATTCATGTCTGTGAGTGCTCGTGATACCACATGATCAGGTCAATCAAGTTGCTGTGATGTCCTTGCCTCGGTCGCCCCATCAACCACTTCAAATACACTCCACCCTCCCCCCACCTTTCCCCAAACTTTTTCTCTGCTTCCCTTCGTAACTCCTCATTCAGATAGATCCCATATGCTGCAGGTGCTACCACATCTCCAAACCTGCAGTCCTTGTTCCCCTTCTCTGCCTTCTTGAATTGTGGGTGCACCTTGTCATTTACCTGTGGCACGTGGCACATGTAGCAGATCTTCCGGTGGTGCCGCATGTCATACTGCAGCCCTCTTCTCCACTCCACATATTCCCTCCATCCATTCCCATCTAGATGTGGGCATTCTCTGATCCCATGTCCCTCCATCGCACCTTTCCTCAACACTCTGCACAGACTGCAGCACCCCTCAAAACTTTCCAATGCTTCCAGTATTTCATCCCCCTCTTCTAATCGTTTCATCTCTTCCTTCCCTCGCTGCTGTCTCGCCTGTACCACTGCACTGTCAAAGCTAGTCTTCAGAGCAGCCCGTCTTTCCATCAATCGTCCCTCCATCGATTTCATCGCCTGCTGTTTGAGTCTTGCTGTCCCAGCAACCTGTATGTCCAATGGGTCATGTCCTGGTTCCTCTAGGCAGACAGAGCATTTCTCCTTTCCTTCCTCCATCCAACAACCAACCCCTTTGCTGTCATTGAACAGCGTCATCCCATACCGCAGGCATCTCCTTGGCCCATAGCAATACAGTAGTTCATACATCGCCCATCTCGCCTCCCCTTCCAGTCCCATCGTCTCTATGTTTGGCAGTGTTGATGTCGGTGGGATGATCGTATAGCAGTTGGCTGCCTGCCCATCTCGACCAGCTCTGCCCTGTCCTTGGATGTAGTCCACCATGTCAAATGGTCGGTCCATGTGAATGACCGTTCGCACGTGAGGGTAGTCGTTCCCAGCGCTGAAGGCAGTGGTCGCAATTAGCACCTTGGAGAATCCTTTGATCCACTGTCCATACATCCATCCTCGGTCCTCGTCAGTCGTCCCCTTGTCTCCATTGTAGAACGGATATGCTGTCATGTGTGACAGATGCTGACCCGCTGCTATGGATGTCACAAACACCAACCCTCTGTCCCTTTCTTCCCAGCGTGAGCCTTCCTCCTCCAACACTTCTGCCACTCGTCGATGCATGGAGTGGACTGGCACCCTTTCCAAGTGATACCCCAGTTCCCATCGGTCTGTACTCTGTCGGATCACCTCTGTTTGCTGCACCAGCTGGAATGTGGTCTTCACCTCCTCCATGCACCATCTTGGAAGCGTGGCACTCAACAGCACTAGCTGCATCGGGACGCTTCGTAGTTGGTGGATGCTTTGGAACACCATCCGATAGTCTTTCGACATCAGTGGAATGTGGGCCTCGTCAAATATCAGCCTGGCCACCTTCTTGCTTTGGTTCAGCATCGCCAGCGCAGACCTCCACTGTGATGTCAATGCCCTGTCTGCTGTGACCAGAATCAAATTCGTGGATGAGCTCAAGGGTTTGTCTGCTCCATAGACTTGGTATGGCACTCTGAACTCCTCCAGTCGTCGTCGGTAGTCCAGCATGAGAGAATTTAGAGGCAAGACTAGCACCGTGGCTTCCTTTGGTTGCACCACACTTGGAACGATCGCCAGCATCGACTTGCCAGCTCCAGTACCCAGCACTGCTACCAGGTCTGTTTCCCCTTTGAGTACTGTTGCCATGCAGGCATGCTGTTCCTTTGATTTCCAGCTTGCTGATGGGTTCTTCAGTAGGCCCTGCATCGCTTTTAGTGCCTGATCCAAGGTAGCTGACTGGTCACTTGTGCTGCATTCTCCAGGCTGGACTGTGAAAGGCCATGTTAGGGACTCGTCTACTGGCAAATGTTTTCTCTGGTCTTACCATGTACATCTGTCTGCTCCAGTTCAACATCGCTGTGGTCCCAGATAGGCAACCGGTCGCTTATTTCAGACTGTGCCCTGTCTAGAATGGATTTAATTTCTGACAATCATCTCACATGAGTGTTACCAACCATGACTGGTACTCTGCCCTTGCTCTTTCTCCCTCTCCCTCTCCTTCCCTTTCCCTTTGTCTGTCCTCTCTGATGGACCTCCTGTGGTGGATCGAATTACCTCCTGCAACATTCCCTTCAGTGCAGGCATCAGCTTGTCCATCACCTTGGTGGCAATCTCATCTGTGGATGGCAGTTTGGCCACCACTGCATCTACCATGGCCTTTTGGACTGCCTCTGTTGCCATGGAATAAGCAACCGGTCGCTTGTTTTCCCTGGGCTCAGGTACTGGTGGAGCAGCTGGGGATGGGGATGGTGATGGGGGGTGTGCCCGTGCAGTCTTGTATGATGTTGACTGGCCACTGACTGCCACCTGGCAGTGCCTTTGCCATTCCATGCTGGCATTGAGGTATGCAGGTAGCACATCCTCTGCAGCTCCAGCCAGAGCTTCCACGCTGATGCCATACACTCGGTTTTCTGTAGACCGACTATGGCCTGCCTGCAGGGCTTCCACATTGTCTTCCCTGTCCATCTCTATCACATCCTCCACTGCACAGCCAAGTTTTCGTTTCCATGCTGTCTGGATGTGTCGCCATGAGTTGATGGTCAGCCCAAAGTGCATGGTGGGAAGGCTGTGCCTGCTCATGATCAATGAGAGGTCCTTGGAGTCAAAGAGGCAATCATAGTTGACAAAGACATGGTTTCGGTACAGGTCCACCACCTCTGGCCTGTCTGGGAAGCATGCCTTGGCTGCAATCTCTGCAAAGGGTCGTGCCAAGGCTAGGTCCTGTACCAAGATGTCGCTGGTGATGGCATCCAAGGCATGAGGGATCAGCTTGTCCTTCCCTGTCAATGCTGTGGTCTTGAGATATTGGCAAAGCAGTGACACGTGCTTGCCCAGGACCACCAGGTTTCGAGTCGGTCGAGTTTGAGTGTTGCGATAGGTCATCGCAGTGAGCTCTGTGCCACGACTTGGTGCACCACTGAGCATCTGTGCCCTCAATAGGAGCAGGCTTTGCAGCTCTGCATACTTCTTCAACCAAGCTTGGAGGGCACCCACATTCCATACAATACCTCCCTGCCGTACCATGGCAAAGTGGGCAAAAGTTTCCTCATCTTCGAGGAAGTGCCTGACCAGTCGGCCTCGACTGCCAAGCTCTGGATTTCTGACATCAGACAGGAAGCAGTAGCCAACATCCTTGTTGATGAGGTCCTCTGCAATCTTGTCATAGTCCACTCGGATATCCTTGCCCATCAGCACCCCCTGCTCCCAAGCCTCTACCAGCTTTGCCTCTGTCTCTTCAAAGACCTTGCAGAGATCTCCAAAGTCCACCTGCTCCCCTCGGTAGAGCATCGTCTTCCAGGTCTTGGTGTCTGTCCACCACACCTGAGGAAGGCTCATGGTATCGTATGACAGGGAACTTGCCCTGTGTTGAAGAGAACGTAGACGAGAGAAGGTATACTGGGTGTTTTCCACAAAGAAGCTTCCCAGATCCAGGCAGTGGTCCAGGTCCTCGCTCTGGGGGTCTGACTGCATGCGGTGGTGAATCTCTTGGAGGAACGTGAGTCGCATGCAATACTCCAACTTGGCTATGATCCCAGTGACTAGGTGTGGCTCCTTGAATCCACCATCTTCCCCAAGGGTCAGAAGGGCCAGACACCTTTCTGTGGGGTCCACAATCTCCCTCTCCCCTCGAGGCTTCCATGCCGTGCTCCAAACCTCAAAGAGCAGCTGGTGGATGATCTGCAAAGCCTCTGGTCCTTCTTCATCCCCCATGCGGAGCACTGCAAGCAGCTCCATGACATTGGGGTTTGACCCAGAGAATGACCCTCCAGCATGTTGTTGTCTGATCAACATTGCCAGTAGAGCAACCACTGGGATGATGTATTGCTTCATGGTGGCCTCATGGAGGTGCTTGTGGAAGGGTGTGTTGGAGATGCCACTGGTGGATGGAAGGAATAAGCGACCGGTCGCCTATTTGTGAGTTGGCATGGCTGCTTACTTTTTGGTGGGGTCAGGTGAATGTAATCTCTTCAGGACCAGTTCATGTGTATGGTCTAGCAGAGAGAGCGCTTTTCTATAGTATGCTTGCACTGCAAGCTTCAGTCCAGGGATGTCCCCATCATCATCCTTGGGTAGGGAAACCCAGCTCCGCAGCAGTTTGACATTCTTGCCTGCAACCTGCTCATGCCACTGTGTCGTCAGCAACCAGGGGCTCACCATGCGACCGTCCAGTGGTGTTTGGACCACCTCCAGTGTTGGCTCCAGTTCTTTGAGCAAAGAATCCACCAGAGCCTGTCGAGCCATTGGCTCACTCTGCCTTTCTTCATCATCCTTCACCTCCCAGAATGCCTGCAGGTCCCCTGAACTTTCCTTCAAGTGCTGTACTTTGCAAGCTCTCCAATGTTTTGGTCTGGGTTCCATCGGGTGGTCTTTGGAGTGATGTTTCCGTAGACGCTCTGTTGACCTGGACAAAAGGTCACAGTGACTGCAAGCCATGGCCTCAAAGACTTTCAGACCATGGACAATGGTTCTAGGCCCAGTAATACCAGTGGGCAGCCGTTCTGTCACCTCCAGTGATGCCATGGCCAGCTTCAAGGTCATGTCACTGTAGGTTGCCTGTCTGCCATGGATCTTTGCCAGATGGCTCTTGACTTCTCCTGCTCTTAATGCCATTTCACAGACCTGGCATGTCAGGAAATGGAACTCTGCATTCACTGCAAGGTCCAATGAATCCAGAAATGCATCAGAGATGAGCCCTGGGGCTGTTGTCAATGGCAAGTGTGGCTGCTGGGACCTTTGTGCCAAAGATGGCACAACATTGCCAGTGTTCTGGTTGTGGGCTTGGATCGCTGACTGAAAGAACTCGAGTCTGGTCGTTAGCAAGTTGGCTCTGATAGACTCACTATGAGAGATGGCAATCGTGGTGCTGGTGCTTGAGGGGATTTTTGAGGAGGGACCGACTTGTGGGCTGTAGGTGACACCATCCTTACATCACCCTGGAATGGTTTCCCAGTCCATGGATAAGCGACCGGTCGCTTATTTGTGGGGAAGCAATGACACTCACTGCTGGTGGTGGGGGTGAATGCATGATTTCATCTTGTGGGATCAACTGGTGAGGAGATGGGATCTTCCCAAAATCCTCTGCTATCTGTTTCCCTGTTTAGCACTGTGGGGTATGGATAGACAGATGCAACACATCTACTCACTGGGGATCCAATGGACCTGTGATGGAACTGGTGTGCCATGACCATCCATCATTCCATTGTCACCAATGGCCATAAGCTTGGTACTCACATCTCCACTGTCACTCTCACTGATATCTTCATGCTATAATGACATTGGGCAGAAGAATAAGCAACCGGTTGCTTATTCTGGCTTGGGCCAGCCACTTACCAAGTGCTTGCTGGCCCTGCTGGGACCACCTGCATTACCCTCCTCCTCATGGGTCTGCGATAGTGATGTCATGGGTGATTGGTCACTTGCTCCTGAGAATACCACTTACCAAGTCCTTGCTAGGTCCAGCTCCAATCCCTTGTCCATGGGTCTGTGAAGGGCAGATAAGCAACCGGTCGCTTATTTTTTTGGTGGATGAAGCCACTTACCAAGTCAAATTTGCCCATGGGTAGATTACCCTGTTAACATGTTCAGAGTTGTTTCCAAATAAGGAAACTATTTCCCACCACTGCTCACCTGTATCTCTGGCCCCTTCCATGTACTACCAGCCTTCTTGATATGAGACTTGAGGTTGCTGGCATACTTGAAGGGCTTGGGACAGCCAAGGGCAGAACAGTTACAAATGAAATCACCCATGTCATTCCTTTGCAACTCAATAGTCTGGTTGGTGTGGGGCAGGTGGATGGTAGCCTTGGAAGAGCATTTCTTGCTGTGAGCTATGTAGGTACTCTTGGTGGAGAAGGTGTCTTCACAGGTGGCACAGACATAGTTGGGCATGGTGAGGTAGATGGTGGTGGTAAGAAGCAGAGATGTAAAGGGGAAAATTTCCCACAGTCAGCTTTATTTATTTGGCTCTACCCACCCTAAACTACCTAATTGGTGTGTCATGCCCATTTGGATGTCCAAATTAGGCAACTACCTTCAGCCTGGTCAGTGGTTTTCTTACTTTCTGCCACAAGTCAAATAAGCAACCGGTCACCTATTTTGCAGGCAGTCACAATGAGTGGCTGTGCTAGTCGTGTTCAGTACTAGTGTCTGACTTGTCCAGATAATCAGCTTGTTCTTCCCAGCTGCCTCCTTGCTACTTTACTTCCCTTGCATCCAGATAAGCAACCGGTCACCTATTTTTCAGACAGTTGCAATGAGTAGCTGTGTCTACTACATCTTTTGGTAATCTGCTGTTTTTGCTAATCAACTGCCTATCATCTTCAATCCAGATAAGCAACCGGTCACTTATTTTCTCTGCTCTCTGTGGCTGTGCATTTCCTTATATGGAGGTTGCATTCAGTGGCTGTGTTGGTTGCATTCACTCACTGAGAGGTTGCATGCAGTGGCTGTGTAGGTTTCATTCAGTGGCTGTGTAGGTTTCATTCAGTGGCTGTGAGGTTTCATTCAGTGGCTGTGTAGGTTTCATTCAGTGGCTGTGAGGTTTCATTCAGTGGCTGTGAGGTTTCATTCAGTGGCTGTGCAGGTTTCATGCAGGAAACCTTCCATATAAGGCAGGGATGCATGTGTGCATTCCTAGATGCATGCACGCATTCCTAGATGCATGTGTGCATTCCTAGATGCATGTGCGCATTCCTAGATGCATGCACTGATGCTACACTCTTCTCTAGATGCATGCATGCATTCCTAGATGCATGTGCACATTCCTAGATGCATGCATGCACACATTCCTAGATGCATGCACCCTTTTCCTAGATGCATGCACTGGTGCTACACTCTTCTCTAGATGCATGTGCACATTCCTAGATGCATGCACCAATGCATGCACCAATGCTACACTGTTCTCTAGATGCATGTGCACTTTCCTAGATGCATGCACGCATTCCTAGATGCATGTGCACATTCCTAGATGCATGCACCCTTTCCTAGATGCATGCACGCATTCCTAGATGCATGCACCCTTTCCTAGATGCATGCATGCATTCCTAGATGCATGTGCACATTCCTAGATGCATGCACCCTTTCCTAGATGCATGCACGCATTCCTAGATGCATGTGCACATTCCTAGATGCATGCACCAATGCTACACTCTTCTCTAGATGCATGTACACTTTCCTAGATGCATGTGCACTTTCCTAGATGCATGCACGCTTTCCTAGATGCATGCACGGATGCATGCACGCTTTCCTAGATGCATGCACGGATGCATGCATGCTTTCCTAGATGCATGCACGGATGCTACACTCTTCGCTAGATGCATGCACCCTTTCCTAGATGCATGCGGACCCTGGGGCAGGGTCCGGAAAGTAGAATATTAGGGTTCATAGGAACTATTTTCCTCCTCCTCCTCCTCCTCATCTTCACTCCCTGGCTCATCAGAATCCCTTAAAGCCTCAATATCCACATAACTGGCAGCCTTTGACATCACTGCCTTGCGCTCTGCCATGGTATGTGCTACATGACAGAAGCCAAGTCATTTGAGTGATCGGTGATGGCTTCCTACATCAATGGTGCTCACCTCTCTGGGGTCTATGTCTGCCCTGGCCCTTCCTCTTCTGGCCCTTGCCCTTAGATCCACTTTGAGTCGTCTTGTCTGGATGGAATAGCAATTAATTCAAATATTCCTTGGGTTTTTGTCACTAACACTCACCAACTGGATCATCCTCCACACCTGACATGGCTGTGGGCTCATCAGCTGTAGCTGACTGTGCAGTGACAGTCTTGGTGAAGGAGAGGCCTTTTTGTCCAAGACCAATTGATCAATTAAAGGTCCAATCATACTTGAGGTGCATACCTTGCAATTTTTCTTTGGCTGCAATTGCTAATTGTGAATGCCAGTCATGAGCCAACTATGACATCATCATTGTACCCAAGACTTACCAGCTTTTTCCAGCTGGTCTTCTTCCTCCATGCGCTTGTCCCACTCTTCCACCCTCCGGTTGTCTTCTTGTTCTCGCTGCTTCTGCTTTTGGCGCTCCAATCTTGCCTGCATCTTGAGGGCCATCCTACCTGAGGATGATGCAAAGATCTTTGCCTTCTCCACAGCCTTGGCTTCCCTGGCTCCTCTCCTCTCCTCCTTTGCATTCTCTGCCTTCTCCTTTTGTATAGTCTGGTAATCAGACTTGAACTTGCCCAAGTGTTGAACTCTCTCCTTCTCTTCTTCTTCTTCTCCTTGTGTCCCCCAGCACTCTTCAACATCTGAATTGGTGCCCACCTCTGGAAGCTTGACACCATATGACTTGAGCAATTCTTCATCCTCACCAAAGTTGTTCAATACATTCTGAGAAGGCAAGGCAATGCGACTCAGATGACGCTCTGATTCTCTTATCAGTGCCTAAAGTGTGATAGATTTTTTCACAATAAGTAACTGGTCACTTATTTTTTTTTCTTGCACAAATGCCACTCACCAAAATGAATTTTCTACCTGTCTTGTAGACAGCAGGAGCCACCTTTCCATTTGGTAGCAAGCCCAACTTGGGAGTGAATGCCAAGTCTACCATCTTGCCAATGGCTGCCCTATTTGCAGCCAGTGTTTGCTGTTCCAATGTTGCACGTACAACTTTGGTGTCTTGGGTCTCATTCTTGTCCAAGTCCATCAAGTCATCTGACACCAGCTCTGCCATACTGTCCTCTTCACCAGGGAACTCCTGAATGCCATCCCACCACCACCACTTCTTGTCACCTTGACCAACACATTGTGCCATGGTAGAGCCTAGATCGGATCGCAATTTCCATGCATTTTTTGACATTAGGAGTGCTTCCCGAGGCCCCTTGTTCAATGCCAGTGGTGCCAAACATTCCACCAGCATTTTCATGTTTTGAATGCGAGCCATTGGGAATGCAGTCACCCGCATCATCTCTATGATACCCCTAGCCACTTGCTCCTGCTGTGGTTGCAATTCACTGAAATTGACAGTGTGATTGGGCTCAGGCCGCAGGTAAGGTGGGGTTCCGCTGACAGCATGAGTGGACCAGCTTTTGAGCTGCTCACGATATGCTTGCACAATGTTTTCCATGCGATCCAAAAAGCTCTTTGCCAGCACTTGTGGTGGGAGATTTGCTGGTGTGTAGATTGTAAATTGTTCCACAAAGCCTGGTGCCTTCATGTTGGTATTCAGCATCCCCAAGGCAGCACGCTGCTCGATGAACAAGCTTGAAATCTGAAAATGCAGGAACAGCAATTAGTCCAGCACAGGGCCCAAATAAGCAACCGGTTGCTTAAACTCACCATGACTCTAGCCAGCCTTGACTGTGTAAGGCACTGTGCATTGTCCATCAATGCACGAGTGTAGTCACGCCACACACGGTCCCCTCTCTGATTCATAGCAAAAGGTAAAAAGGGCTCAACCCATGTAACCACCTAAACCTGTGTTCATTCCTTGACTCCAGAGCCAAACATGATTCAACTCACCTCCTTGATCACTTCAGTGAGCTCAATTGGTGGTGTGCTGACAGTGTCTGAAAAGACACGCTGGACATTCTGGAAGAGGAGTCGATTTCCAATGGGAAGACTCGCAAAGCTCTTGGGATATGCTTTGCGAACCAACAGCCCAGCCTTGATCCAGTCCATCTTGACTGCCATGTCTACACAGACCCTGTCATCATTGTTGTTTTGGGGATCCAAGGTGACTTGGTGCCCCTCTCTGGTGCAGGCACTTAGGATTCGTCGCCAGTACTGATCTATCAAGTCTTGCCAAACTTTTTGAGAGTTTGGGTCTTCCAGGGCCCAAAGTCGCCATGGGAAAGAATGTCCACACTTTCTACTCAATTGCACCCATGCCTCCAGCCACTTCTCTGCATTCTCATCTACCACTTCCCATGCATGGTAAGGTGAGGCCTTTGCTTGTTCCAACAACTTCCTTGCATGTGCCCTCAATCTCTTGGCTAGAGCATGGCTCTTGGCTTCTTCAGTCATCTCCCCCTGCCCTTCACCCTCAGGAGCTTTCTCCAGCCTGGCTTTCACAGTAGAAAGCCTCTCAACTTTGATGGGTGCAGCCAAAAATGTGAATACGTCCATCACATATTCACACAGCAAAATTTGGAGCTATCCATATGTCAGACATTCAAGGCAAGCTTTGAAGATGGATTAACAACTTACGCCTCCTGTGGCTGGGCACCAACTGTCCAGCTGACGAGCAGTGAACCCTGTTCCTGTGTCAGCCCTGCCAATTTTCCTTCCACAAAAGTGTTTCATCCGCAACAGGGGGGTGACAGCTGAATAGATTCCTTCATCTGAAAGGATGCGTGCCAGGCGACTCTTGCTTGAACCCCCTGCACGACGACAAATTTCGTTGATATAATTTTCCTTGTCCTTGGCAGACTCCAATGTTGCAATGATGTTCAACACTTGGTATAGCCTGTCATTATCATCATCTGGCAAGGCAACTATGGGGGTGTTGCTGGTCAAATGGTCCAGCAACCACTGTTTCTCTGGATGAGCACCCAGCTTGTCTGATTGGGAATTAGTTTGTTAGCAAAATTAGGTGACCGGTCACCTATTTTTTATTCCACTCACCCATGTCTATGAAGTGGACCAGCCAACAACAGTGCTTTTGTAATTCTTTGACAGCTTGTGCCTCTGCCATGCCAAGCTTGAACTCCTCATTGTTGTCTCCCTTCTTATTCCCATGGCTTGTATGGAATTCCTGCAGAATTTTGACCTTTTGATATTGCACATATGTTTGGTTGACGTCCAGCATCTTCAAAACTTCCCTGCGGTGGTTCCCATTGAGGAAACTGGCAGTGAACTTCTCCACATCCTCTGACCAGCGCACATGATTTTCATAAGTGCCCAAATGGACAGGCTGGAGTGAGGACAGGTCTAGGGCAGCAGGTGGGACTGCCACCACCATGGCATTCCAAATGGCTCGGTTCTGCAGGCCATGCATTTTGATATTTTCATGTAATTTTTTGAGGTGATTGGCATCTACATCCCGAGGGTTGTATTCTCGCAACTTGAGAAGAGGTCCAGAGCCCAGGTCACATCGTGAATCAGGTTTGTCGTGGATCACAGTCATTAGTGCATAGCCCAATGACATTTCAGCCACTGCCTGTTCAATCTGAGAAATGCGGGCATCTGCCTCTGCAATTTTTGTGGTCTTGATGTCAGCCACCTACAGCAAAGTCAAGTTAGCATGTATAGCTGCACATTTGATCGGAAAAATACTAACCACATTGTCACCCTTGGGGATGACTGTGTGTAGCCATTGTTTTGGACCTTTGGGTTCCTTGACCTCTCTAGTTGCACCCGTTTTCTGTTAATTTCAGATATCCAAATGTAAGCTAACAATGACTTTGTGGTCAAGGTGAACAATATGCCACTTGCCTTATTTCTTTGGATTGCCAACACTTGACCCTCTGCAGGTGCAGCACTCTGCATTTCTTGGGTCAGACAGTTGATGACCCTGGTCATATCAACACCACTTACCCCACTTGCTACTGCAGTCTCTTCCCATTCTGCGTCTCCACCTTGATGCTCATCAGTAGTCTAGCATGCCATGAATAAGCAACCGGTCACTTATTCTGTACTGGCAGGCACACCTACCTTATTTTTTGTTTGCTTGCTTTTCTTGGGGAGCTTTCCACCCTTGCCTTGGCCAACATTTTGGTGGCTTGCCTATGGTTGTTGGATAAGCAACCGGTCACTTAATTCTGCCACTGGTATGGCTCACCCCTGTGGTGGGATTTCCACCTTCCTTGCTCTTATCAACATCCTATTTGTTGTGCAGCCAGTTTAGGTGACCGGTCACTTATTTTTCCTGTCAAAGCTGTGCTTACCATTTGAACTTCCATTTGGTCACCATCCTCTGGCACACTCTGAGACCAATACTAATGAGTACCACTGCTGTTGATCCCACTTGAAAAAAAAAAACCCACCTCCATGGCTCCCACTCTGGTAGCAGCAGTGGCAGGTGTCTGAGCAAGTTTGCGACGTTTGTTATTGGTCTAGACACATAAAAAAGCAGAAAACAAGTCAGGGATTCATGCCCTATTGGTTTTTTTTTTTGCCTTACCTGTCCCTCAGACAATGCTGGGGTATCTGTAGCACCCTCTGTGGTTTCTGCCCCCATTTCTCCTTCCAAAGTACACTTCCTCTTTCATGCATGTCAATCCCAAATGATCTTGTAGTGTGACCAAGACCCTACCTTATTCTTATTTTTCTTTCCTGGTGCCTGGGCCACATGACATTGCTGCATTGGCCAAGATAAGAGACCAGTTGCTTATTTGCACAGATGTTGTTCTACTTACCACTCCATCCCCTCCTCCAGACTCTTGTGCAGATGCCATCACACTGTCTGCACCTTTTCCTTGAGTAACTGTGTTGACTTTTTGGGTTTTCTGTGAGAGCACATAAGCAACTGGTTGCTTAGTTTTTTTTTTTTTTTTTTTTTAAAAAAAAAGACATACCTTCTTTTTCAATGCAGGGTTGGTGGCCTTTTGTATGCCTGCTGCTTGGTTCAATTGGTTCACAAGGTCATCTTGAAAAGTGTTCATTGGCTAGATGAGGTTTGAAATCAGAATGAGCAATCAATCACTTATTTGATACCCATGGTATGACTTGCCAATGCCTTCTCAGTTGCAGAGGCCACCACCTCAGTAGCCTTGGCACTCTCACCCTCAGTGCCTTTGGTCTAGTTGGTGGGGGTGGAGAATAAGCAGCCGGTTGCTTATTACAAGGCCAGGACATGACTTACCAACTCTTTTTCAGTCACAGCACCCACCACCTCAGTAGCCATGGCACCCTCAGTAGGGGTTGTGGGCTAGTAAGGGAGGGGGGGGGGAGGGGGGTTAAGCAACCGGTTGCTTGATTTCAAGCCCATGACATGACTTACCAACTGTTTCTCAGTGACAGAGCCCACTACCTCAGTAATCATAGCACCCTCAGTGGTGGCTTTGGTCTAGTATGGGGGGTTGAGGAATAAGCAGCCGGTTGCCTATTTTACCAAAGTGCAACAACTTACCACAAGGTTGTTGTTTGCAGACATGATTGGTTGTTTGTAGTTGTTTGCACTGTTTCCTGATGTGGAAGGTTGTGGTTGCAGTTCAAGAAGCAAAACTTGCACAGCCACCCATCTGGTGTTGGTATATATCTGTTTGTTGCTTATGTAATCCTGTGTCAAGCCTTTTATGGATATTATGTAATCAATAATGGTTGGACATGACCCAAGTCCATCACTGCCACTCTCTTGCAAAAGAAAAAAAAAAAAAAAAAAAATAAGCAACCGGTCACTTAAATAGAGGTACCATGTTTGTAGGTGGAGTTAGACTAGTAGTCATGTTTTTCATGACCATGACTTGTGGAATTTGAGTGAGTTGGAACTGGTAAGCATACCACCATGGCTAGCAGCACAGTCACTACCAGATAAGCAACCAGTTGCTTAGCTGGTCATGAGTGCAAGGTTCCCCACCACTTGTCATGCTGTGCTTGCAGGCTGTAATCACACACACTCCATCACCTCCATCTCCATGTCCTATAGGGGCAATAGAATAAGCAACCGGTCACTTATTTGTATACATTCATTTGAAATACACACTTGTACATATCTATCATTACATCTGCTGTTGCTGGTGATACCACATGAACAAATCAAACAAGTTGCTATAGCTGCCTGCCTTTGGGCATGCCATCAACCACCTACTATACCCTATCCTATCCTCCCACTGCTGTTCAAAGTGAGCTGCTGCCATGGATTGTAGGTCTGCATCCAAGTGAATACCATATGCAGCTGGTGCAATGATGTCTGCAAATCGACACCGTCCTCCTCTCCCTGCCCTTGCAAACTGTGGATGGACCAAGTCATTTACCTGTGGCACATGGCACATGTAGCAGATCTTTTTGTGATAGCTTTGATACTTGAGCTCTTTCCTCCACTCCACATAACCCTGCCACCCAGTGCCTCCCAGACTTGGGCATTCCTGGATGCCATGCACAACACCATTCTTGCCCAGCACCCTGCACAGGCTGCATGCACCTTCAAAGCTCTCCAGTGCAGCCAGTATGATCTCTGCTTCCTGCAATCGTTGGCTCTCTTGCACTCCCCTGACCTGTCGAACTTGACCAACTGCCATGTCAAAACTTCTTGGCAGAGAATCATTCCTGTGGATCGCTTGTCCTTGCACTGGGTTCATCAACTGCTGTTTCAGCCTAGAAGTGCCAGCAATTTGAATGTTTGATGGCTCATGGCCTGGCTCTGCTAGGCAGACAGAACAACTTTCATTGCTCTCCTCCTTGCCACAACCAATGCCTTTCCCATCATTGAAGAGTGTCATCCCATATCTCAGGCATCTCCTGGACCCATAGCAGTATAGCAGTTCATAGATGGCCCATCGAGCTTCTCCCTCCAACCCACCATGTTGGATGTCTGGAATGGCTGCTGTAGGAGGTATGATGGTATGGCAGCTTGCTGGTGCCCCATCTCGGCCTGCTCTCCCTTGTCCTTGGATGTAATCCACCATGTCAAAGGGACGGTCCATGTGGATGACCATCCTCACATGAGCATAGTCATTCCCAGCACTGAATGCAGTGGTTGCAATCAGCACTTTGGTTGCCCCACTGATCCATTGCTGATAGGCCAATTGTCGCTCCTCATCAGATGTCCTTTTGTCTCCATTGTAGAATGGATATGCAGTCTTCTGTGACAGGCTCTGTCCTGCAGCAATGGATGTGACAAAGACCAACCCTCTGTCCTCCTCTTCCCAGTAGGAGCTTTCCTTGAGTAGCAAATTGATGACTTGGTCTTCCACACAATTGAGTGGCACCTTTGACAAGTGATAAGATAGCTCTGGCCGGTTGGTGCATTGCCTGACCACTTCTGTCTCTTTCAGCAGGAGAAAGGTGGACCTGGCCTCCTCGATGCAAGATGGTGGAAGGGTAGCACTCAACAGTACCATCTGCATGGGAATGCTACGCAGTCGATATGTGTTCTGCAGGGCAACTCGATAACCCTTGGTCATGAGTGGGATATGTGCCTCATCAAAGATGAGCCTGGCCACCTTCTTTTGTTGGTTGAGAGCTGCTAGTGAGGCCCTCCAGTGAGAAGTCAATGCCTTGTCTGCTGTGACCAGGATGAGGTTGGTGGATGAGTTCAAAGGCCTGTCTTGCACATAGACTTGGTAGGGCACTTGGAATGCATCCAGGCGACGCCGATAGTCAAGCATGAGGGAGTTGAGTGGCAACACCAGTATGGTTGCTTGGTTGGGTTGCACCATGCTTGGCACTATGGCCAACATGGACTTGCCAGCTCCTGTGCCAAGCACTGCTATGAGGTCCATTTTCCCCTGTAGCACTGACAACATGCAGGTGTGTTGCTCCTTGGACTTCCAGGTAGCACTTGGGTCCCTGAGGAGTGTCTTCATTGCATTCAATGCAGAGCTTTCCATGGTCTGCTCAAAAACAAGTGACCGGTCACTTATGCTGGGCCCTGGTATTTGCCCTTTTCCTTGGTCATGAATATGCATGTGCACCATCATTGATAAATTGTTATCTTACCATGTATCTCTTGCCAAAAAACAGGAGACCGGTTACTTATATCTGGTTGGCCAGATGGGTAACTTGACCAGGCCTTTTCTTCCCCTGTATTTGTAGAATGCACTGGTGGTGTTGTCTGAGGTGGAAAAAGAAATAATAATAAAAAGTCAAGTTGACTCACACTCATCTGAGCACCTTTCTCTTCCTTTGCCCTTGTCTGTCTTGCTCTCTGATGAAGATGGTCCTTGTTGTTGTATTGCTGACTGGACAACCTCTTGCAACATCCCATGTAATGCAGGTACCAGCTTTTCCATGACTCTGTTTGCAATCTCCTCTGTGGATGGTAGTCTGGAAACCATTGCATCTGCCACTGCCCTTTGGATCTCTGCCATTGGCACAGAATAGGTGACCGGCTGCTTATCATTATTTTCACCTGGGCCTGGTTGAGGTGCTGGTGGCATGGATGGTGACCTTGCTGCCTTGTATGATGTACACTGGCCACTGAGTGGTACATGGCAGTGCTTTTGCCATTCCATGCTGGCATTAAGATATGCAGGTAGGATGTCCTCTGCAGCTCCAGCCAGTGTCTCAACACTGATGCCATACACCCGGTTTTCTGTGGAACGACTGTGGCCTGCCTGTAGAGCCTCTATGTTGTCTTCCCTGTCCATGTCCATGATGTCCTCCACTGCACAACCAAGCTTTCGTTTCCAAGCAGTTTGAATGTGTCGCCAAGATTTGATGGTGAGACCAAAGTGCATGACGGGTAGGGTGTGCTTGCTCATAATACCAGATAGGTTTTCTGAGTCAAAGAGGCGATCATAGTTGACAAAGACATGGTTGCGATACAGCTCCACCACCTCTGGCTTGTCTGGGAAACATGCCTTGGCTGCAATCTCTGCAAATGGCCGTGCCAAGGCCAGGTCCTGCACCAAGATGTCACTGGTGATGCCATCCAGGGCATGAGGGATCAGCTTGTCTTTCCCTGTCAATGCTGTTGTCTTGAGGTATTGACAGAGCAGGGTGACATGCCTGCCAAGAATCACCAAGTTGCGAGTTGGCCGTGTCTGTGTGTTTCGATAGGTCATGGCTGTCAGTTCTGTGCCACGACTTGGAGCACCACTGAGCATCTGTGCTCGCAGCAACAAGAGGCCTTGCATCTCTGCATACTTCTTCAACCATGCTTGGAGGGAGCTTCGGTTCCATATGATGGCCCCATTCCTGATCATTGCAAAGTGGGCAAAGGTACCCTCATCTTCAAGGAATCGCTTGACCAATTGGTCTCGATGAGTCAGCTGAGGGTTTCTCAAGTCTGACAAGAATGAATAGCCCACATCCTTGTTGACCAAGTCATCTGCCATCTTGTCATAGCCCACTCTGATGTCTTGTCCCATCAAGATGTCCTGTTCCCAGACTTGGACCAGCTTGGCTTCTACCTCTTGGAAGACCTTGCAAAGGTCAGAAAACTGGACCTCCTCCCCTCTGTAGAGCATGGTCTGCCATGTCTTGGTGTCTGTCCACCAGACTTGGGGAAGGCTCATGGTATCATAAGCCAGGGCACTTGCTCTGTGCTGTAGGGAACGTAGACGAGAGAAGGTGTAGCGAGTCTTCTCCACAAAAAAGTTCTCCATGTCCAGGCAATGTTCCAGCTGATCTCTTTGGGGTTCTGACTGAGTACGATGATGGATCTCCTGGAGGAAAGTGAGGCGCATGCAGTACTCAAACTTGGCTATCTTGGTGGTCACTTCATGGGGTTCCTTGAATGCACCATCTTCTCTGAGAGTGAGTAGGGCCAGACACCTCTCTGTGGGATCCACAATCTCATTGTTCCCTTGATGTTGCCATGCTGTGCTCCAGATCTCGAATAGCAATGCATGAATCAGAGGCACTGCCTCCTCAGTGGCCTCTGGGTCAATGCGAAGCACTGCAAGCAACTCCATCAACTTGGAGTTGGATCCAGAGAATGGCTTTCCACTGTATTCTTGTCTGATGAGCATGGCCAGTAGAGCCACCACTGGCACAGTATATTGCTTCATGGTTGCCTGATGTAAGTGCTTGTGCAAGGGGGTATTGGAGATGCCACTGGTGGGATGGTTGAAAATAAGCAACCGGTTGCCTATTTTCTGAGTGCTTGTCTGGCTTACCTTTTGGTTGGGTCAGGGGAGTTCAATCTTTGGAGGACCAGCTCTTCTGTGCAATTTAGGAGAGAGAGGGCCTGTTGATAGTATGCATCCACAGCATCCCTCAGTTCTGCAGGAATGTCCCCATCCTTGGCTTTGGGCAAGGAAACCAGGCTGCACAGTTGTCTGATGTTTTGGCCAGCAACATGCTCATGCCATCTTGTTGTCAACAGCCAGGGATTTACCATGCGACCATCCAGTGGTGTTTGGATCACTTCTAGCATGGGCTCAAGTTCTTTGAGAAAAGAGTTGACTAGGTCCTCTTGCAGTGTCTGTCGAGTGTCCACTCCTGCATTTTCCACCTCCCAAAATACTTGCAGGTCTCCAGATGACTCCTTCAGATGTTGAATCTGGCAGGCTCTCCAAGCTCTGGGCCTGGGAATGGTAGGGTGGTCTTTGGAGTGATGTTTCCGCAACCGTTCCTCTGACCTTGACAAGAAAGGGCAGTGATTGCATGCCAGGCCATTGTGGACTTTCAGACCATGGACCAGTGACCTAGGTCCAGTGATGGTGGCAGGCAGTCCTGCCACTGTTGCCAATGATTTGATAGCCAACTGGAACTGACCATCATTGTAGGCATGTGGCCTGCCATGTACTCTGGTTAGATGGCTTCTGACTTCTTCTGTTGCCAATGCAACCTCACAGATCTGACATGTCAGAAAGTGGAACTCTGCATTCACTGCCAGGTCCAGTGATTCCAGATATGGATGGTGATAAAGTCCATTTGTGGGGCCTGGCAGGGTATGGGTAGCAGTTTCAGCAGAAGTTGTTGCCATATTTCTGGGGTCATCATCTCTGTGAGATTGGATCACTGACTGTGGAATCATGAGTCTTGCTTTGGGCAGATAAACTGATCTCCATGTCTCACCATGAGGGATGGCAGTGGTACTGTTGGCAAATTTGGGGAGGGGCCCAGCCTCTCAGACCCAGGTGACACCATGTGGATGTCCTTCCAGATCAAAAAATAAGTGACCGGTCACCTATCATGGGGTCCATACTCACCAGATGGGTCTGCACTGATGGTGAGCCCTGGGGAGTTACCATTGTGTTAGTTGGTGGCTCAGGTGGTGTGGGTGAACGCATTATGTGGTCTTGTTGAACCAACCAACCATGAGGTCGTGGGGGAGATGGGATGCTACCCAAATCATGGGATATCTGTTTCCCTTGGTCAGTGCTGTATGTATTTGTGGCAAGGATGTATCATCTACTGACTGATGATCTGCTGGTGTCCTCAGATGATGACTAGTGTTATGCTTGTCACTGCCTTGCTCTCACTGATGGTAATCTTATGGTGCTCACCTCATCTGTGTAATCCTCAATGCTATCATGGTCCTCCTATAATGAATGACATTGTCAATGGTCAGAATAGGTGACCGGTCACTTATTTGCCCAAAATGTAGGCTACTCACCAAGTCCATGATGGCCCTGCTCATGCTAGGACCAGCACCTGGGATGAACACATTATCCTTTGCATGCTCCTGTCACAGAAATGTAAGTGGTCTGTCACCCAGTCCATTGTCACTAAATCACACACCATGCTTCTTTTTGCCTTGCTGGGTTGAGGTTCAGGACCTTGTCCATGGGTCTGCCATGAGCAGAGTAAGCAACTGGATGCTTATTTCACTGCCATACAACTGCTCACCAAGTCAATGCTTGCCCTTCCTTTGCTGGACCCAGCTTCAACACCTGGTCCATGGGGCTGTGATGAGCACATAAGCAACCGGCTGCTTATTTCACTGCGATTATGTTACTTACAAAGTCAAGTTTTTGTTGCATGGGTGAGTTGTCCTGCTGCTCACATTAGGATTGAATTACTAAATAAGGGAATGATTTCACACCACTCACCTTAATCCCAGGTCCCATCCACCTAGTTCCAGCCCTCTGGATATGAACTCTGAGACTGTTAGCATACTTGAATGGCCTTGGACAACTCCTGTGAGAGCAATGACAAATGAAGTTGCCATTCTCCTCTCTTTTCAAATGGATGGTTTGGTTAGTATCAGCCAGATGGATGGTAGTCTCTTGGAAACACTTCTTGGTGTGGGTGCTATAGTCCTTTTTGCTGGGGATGGTTTCTTGGCAAGTGGGACAGACAGGCATGATGGTGGTGGTTAGAGGGCAAGATGCAAAAGAGCAAATTTCCCACAGTGTCTCTTTCTTTATATTGATTCCTTATTTAGCTTCATCCCCATTGGGATTACTCCATATGGTTAGCCATTTTCCACATTGAGCAATGGATTTGACAAAGAATTCAAGTCCCCTTTCTCAATTCTCAGTGCCATGTGTGATAAGTGACCGGTTGCTTATTTTGTGGTTGCTTGCCACCTTGTGCTATTCAACTGGTGCATCCATGTGATGCCCCTAGTTCACATGCATGTGACAACCCCTATTGATGCATGCATGTGACAGCCCCTATTGACGCATGCATGCGACAGCCCCTATTGGCGCATGCATGTGACAGCCCCTATTGACGCATGCATGCGACAGCCCCTATTGGCGCATGCATGCGACAGCCCCTATTGACGCATGCATGCGACAGCCCCTATTGACGCATGCATGCGACAGCCCCTATTGACGCATGCATGCGACAGCCCCTATTGACGCATGCATGCGACAGCCCCTATTGGCGCATGCATGCGACAGCCCCTATTGACGCATGCATGCGACAGCCCCTATTGACGCATGCATGCGACAGCCCCTATTGACGCATGCATGCGACAGCCCCTATTGACACATGCATGCGACAGCCCCTATTGACGCATGCATGTGACAGCCCCTATTGACGCATGCATGCGACAGCCCCTAATGCGCCGGACTCTGCGCAGGGTCCAGGAAGTAGATTATTAAAAGGTTTTTGATGCACAAGTTAGCGGTATCCAGGAGAACACGGTCGCCAACCTTGGGCGCAACATATGTCCCTTTTGAGCGAGATTTCATCAACTCCTGTGCCCTTTTGTGGGCAAGGATAGCGACATCTCTGCTTGCAGCCAACCGCTCTAATCTTTCCTCGACCAAGGGGACCGGGGTTAATCTCGTCTCAGGGTAGGGCAACGGGTTGTATCCAAGAAGGAGGGAAAAAGGGGTCATTTGATGGACCGTATGGATGCGGGAGTTGTGCGCGAACTCAGCGGAAGGTAACTTGCTGCTCCAGGAGTTCAGGAATTCCAAGCAATAAAGGCGTAAGTATCCTTCAACCTCTTGATTTACCCGTTCGCTTTCTCCATTGGTCTGTGGGTGATACCCCGTAGAAAGTTTTGTTTTTATCCCTATAGCCTTGTATAATTCCTTGGTAAACGAGGAGGCGAACTGCGGACCTCAATCTGAGATTACCGATTCCGGTAGTCCAAATCGAGCATATATGAAGCAATGGAACAGTTTCGCCAATCCTTCGGAATCGATTGTCTTGTGACAAGGAACAAACAGGGCGGCCTTGGATAGCCCTTGATCGACTACCGTGAGAATAGAGTTGTATTTGTCATCTCCCAAGATCAGGAGGTCCGTAATGAAGTCCATCGAAATCTGCTGGAACGGAAGCACCGTTTTGGCAGTCTCGTGGGGGGTTACCGGGGGTCTAGGCGGGTGAGTGATGACCTTGCTGCTTTGGCAAATCGGACATCCGGCGATGTATGCCTTGATGTCTTTTCCCATTCCGTCCCACCATACCTCTTTCCTCATTTTGGCGAACATCGCCTTTTGTCCGGGATGACCTGAAGACTCATGATCGTGATAAGTCTTCATGCAGTGCCGGCGATGTTCAGGGGGAATATAAAGGCGGGTAGTACCGAAACGTTTTGTTCCATCGGCAGCGGTAGTCACGTTGTTATTAATTTCTGGGCCGTTCTGCTTCTTCGAAGCATCCTCCTTGATTCGGTCATACAGTTCGGCGGATACGGCGAATACACCCCTAGCTCCTTTGATGGGTTCCTCAGATGGGCGAGCTATCGGGGACCTTTTCTCCTTTGGCAATTCCTCATTTGGGCAAGAATAAGGTCGGGTGTTTGAACGAGACCATTCCGTTCGAGCCAGGAGGCAGCCAACTCGTAGTAATCTATTGATTTTCTGTTGTTTTATAATTTTTGTGAGTGAAAAAGTGGGAGAAACCAAACGAATTTGGCTGTCCACCCCCTTTGAAAGCCAAAGGTCCGGTGGTAGGACCATGGCCACGGGGGCGGGCTCCACCGCTTCGCTCTTGCGAGACAGGGTGTCCGCCGGAACCTGCAACTGGCCTGCCTGCCAGGAGAAGCGGATCGGGTAGGACTGTACTGTAGCAGCCCATCTTGCCTGGTGAGGGGTTAACTGTTGCGGTTCGTGGTAATACTCGAGGTTTTTGTGGTCGGTAAAGACCACTGTAGGTTCGACTGGGGATAGGAGGTATGGTCGGAAGGCCTTTAAAGCCCGAATGACAGCTAGCATTTCCAGGTCGTACACCTGGTAACGCTGCTCTGCACCAACAAGGGATTGGGAGAGGTACGAGCAGGGATGCCACTTGTCGTCGGAGCCTTTCTGGGCGAGAACCGCACCAGTACCAAGTTTCGAAGCGTCTGTAAAGAGTGCGAACGGCTTCGAAAAGTCAGGAATCATGAGGACCGGAGCGGAGCATAACAAGCTTTTCAGCTTCTCGAAGGCAGCATCCCTCTCCAGAGTCCAGGTATAGGAGACCCCTTTTTTTGTTAGGTCATGAAGGGGTCTGGCGATGCTTGAAAACGATGGGATAAACTTCCGATAGAAGTTACAGAATCCGAGGAAACAGCGAAGCCTGGTTAGATTGTCAGGGGCTTCCCAGGTGTTAATCACATCGGTCTTTGTCGGCGAAGTTTCCATGCGACCTCTTCCTATGACCATTCCCAAAAACTCTATTTCTTCGGCCTCAAAGACGCATTTGCTGATCTTGAGTCAAAGACCTTCTTTTTGACAGATCGTCAGGAACTCCCGGACACAGGTCCGAAGTTCCTCGCGAGTTTTCCCATGGATTGCGACATCATCCATGTATCCTACCTGTTTACCTCTTTGACTTTCGAAGGTTCGGTCCATGTAATGCTGAAACGAGGGAGGTGAGTTACATTGTCCGAAGAACATTACCGTGGGTTCGAAGAGACCCCTAGGAGTTATGAAAGCTCCTTTCCATTCGTCTCCTTCTTTAACCCAGAGGTTAGTAAACCCCCATTGAATGTCAAACTTGGCATAGTATTTGGATTCGACAAGCTCATTGAAAAGAGCTTGTGCGTTCGGCAGCGGGTGTGCATCCTGAATGGTAAAAGAGTTAAGATATCAATAATCTTGAATTAACCTCTTTTTGCCATCCTTTTTGGCAACGAAGAACACCGGTGCTGCTTGCAGCGAGGTTGACGGTCGAATCTTTTTACACTTCAAGTTTTCTTCAAGAAATTCATCCAAGACTTTTAGTTCGTCAGGAGACATTGGATATACCGCTGCTTTCTTTGGTTTGAAGTCCTCTTTAAGTCGTATCTCGTGGTCCAGATCCGGCCTATGAGGAGGTAGCGGTATGTCTTCTTCCAAGAATACCTGAGCGAATTCTTGATATTCTTGTGGGAGCCATACTTCCTCTTTGAAGGAAGCCAGAGCGGCTTCTAGTTCTGTAGACAAGGTTGTTTTGTTAACCTCTCTTACCTCCGGTTCTCGTACGGAACCGTCCTTGTTGAATTTTACGGCATACCCTTCATAATAGGGTACCTGGCTGTAAATATAGACGTCAGTTTCTCTAGTCGGTACAAACCCATCATCCCAGCACGAGATCTTGTTGTTTTCCCAGTCCATTCTTGGCTTGAACATCTGGAGGAAAGGCATGCCGAGAAGTATATGCTCCTTTCCTACCAATGGACTGACGTAACACTTGATCCGTACCACTCGGTTCTTGATGATGACGTGTATTGTAACCTTGCAGGTTATCCACTCGACGTCTTTTCCTGTAAACGATGTCGTTTTGAATTGACTCTTGACCTGATACGTCGGAATCTTGAGTTTTTGAACAATTCGCTCCGAGATGAGCGAAACCTCTGCACCCGAATCGATGCAGACCATTACTCCTGTGTTGTAATCCGGTAACCACACTCTTCCCAATGGAGAACCGACTCTCATTTTCGATTCATCATCTATGGTGGTAGTACAGACAGCGGATAACATAGAGGCGGGACCTACGTGAGGAGTTGCCGTGGTCCCATTTAAAAATTTACCCCATGTGCCTTCATTTCCTCATCTGTTGCCAGACGATCTCCTACATAAGCAGTTCTCGTTCCATCGGCGGATAGAACAACTCAAACGCCAGGAGGTGGCACGGGTTTCTTGGCTTTACAGTCATGCTTGTAGTGACCCTTTGCTCCACAATCGAAGCAAGTGACGTCTGGGTTTGATCGGCATACGTTTCGCCTTCTTTTGTCAACGTCCATTGCATCAGGATCTCGGGAATTACCGCGATAGTGGATAAACTTTCGCTCATACCGGGACTCCTTTCCTTCAAGGATATGTTTGGTGGCAATAGCGGTTCTTGCTTCTCCCGCGCATTGAATCCACTCGATGACTGTGGATGGTGCACGTCCTGAATTAAGAACCCAGTTGGAGGTCATTTGCATAAGCATCCCCTCAAGCACATTCAGTGCTACATGCAGATAAGCAACCGGTTGCTTATTTTTGCATGAAGAGAACAATATGTATGCACTGTTGGGTTTCACTTGGATCCTCTGATTGGTAGTCTACTCTAAACTTAGCCTAATGAATATGGCAGTTCACCTTTTGCTAGTTAATCACTAGGCTCTTGTCCCCTTTTTTGCTTTTCACCCATTCTGCCCCAGATAATCAACCAGTTGCATATTGTCTCTAGTCAGTCACCACTAGTCACTCAGTCTCACTATGCTTGTCACATGCTCAGTCTATGCACTCACTGCACACTTGGTCTATGCACTCACTGTGCACTCTGTGGACTTGGTCTATGCACTTGGTCTATGCACTTGGTCTACGCACTCTGTGCACTTGGACTACACACTCACTGTGCACTCTGTGCACTCAGTCTATGCACTCACTGCACACTCTGCACACTCGGTCTATGCACTCCCTATGCACTCTGTGCACTCTGCACACTCGGTCTATGCACTCCCTACACACTCTGCACACTCGGTCTATGCACTCCCTACACACTCTGTGCACTCTGTGCACTCGGTCTATGCACTCCCTGCGCACTCTGTGCACTCGGTCTATGCACTCCCTGCGCACTCTGTGCACTCGGTCTATGCACTCCCTACACACTCTGTGCACTCGGACCCTGGGGCAGGGTCTGGAAAGTAGATTATTAAAAAAAAAAAAAAAAAAAAGTAGAGACCAGAATGTATACCAAGTGAGGCTGGGACAGCTGGTCTACTGCTGTCTGGTCATCTGGCTTGACACCTGTGTAGGACAGGTCCAGGCTTGCTTCTTGATAGTAGGTAGCACCAGAGTTGGCATGACCAGTCTAGACCAGCCTGGGGTTGGCACTGGCCTCCTCACTTCCTGACAAGTTCCATATGCAAAAAGTCTTGTTTGAACCCTCTGGGAAATTGTTGCCAGCTCAGAGGTTAAACCTCCAGATGAGAAGACTCATCCTAATGAGTATGAGGATTGGCTCCTCAGGGACAGCCATGATGAGCTCATATTTTGTGTATATCTCCCCCAATTGTGTATCAATTTGCCCCAGACTTTCTCTACCCTACTCAGGAGGGTGTGTGTGGGGGGGGGGGTGGCCATTGCCACCAATGTCACATGGCATAAATAGAGTAGTATTTCCTCCAGGCTACTGGAGTACTACATACTAAGTACAATTATTATTGAAGAGATATTGAAGGAGGCAGAAAGTATAGTATTTTCCCTCTATTAAGAGGGTGTCAGTGTCACATGCATTATTATCACCTCTAATAAGATTGACAGGGTGGGAATCACAGGCACCCAATGGACATATCTATTGACTCCCATCATTATTTCCCCCAAATTATTTATTGTCAGGAGTTTGTAATTATAATTCCCCCAGGGGCTGTATAGTTCTTAACAGTAAATGTATGCTCAGAATTTATTTGGGGACTGTTCTAGTTGGACTGGAGCTGGTGGATTTTGTCACCCAAGGTGAGGTTTACACTTGCACTCTGGCTTGAGTGAGTTCCATTCTGCAGGCATGGAAAAAAGCATTGGCAAGAGACTCAGATGGGGTATAAATTTTACAGTTGGTGCAGCACTGGTGTTATTACCACACTCAGACAGCTGCTGATAATGCATATCCAACCCAAAATATGCATGCATTATGTGATATGCATGGGTCCCCTGCCACCCAACTTGGGCTGAGCACAAACCCCATCCAGAGTTGTGCCATGTAAGGTGATGCACTATGAGAAGTTCTACTGTACCATTCAGGCCCTAAGGGCCATTGTATTTGGCAGTAGCAGTGAATGTACATTGGCAAATCTACACAGGTACAAAACAAAGATGATTTCCACATGTACAGGTATGACAACTGGATAGGTATACACAATATTGAGGCCAGCACAGTATGATTGATAAAAGTGCAATCAAGCACGCACTGCCAAATGTGGAGGGGATCTATGCAAGGATTGTTACAGGCTTCGTTTGCGATTAAATAATGCTGGACTCACTGAACAGCATGCGTCTCTGCACCGAGAGCTCCCTTCCTGGAAGCCATCCACTCCTGGACCTTGCTCATCGTTGGGCGACGCTCAGGGTTTTCGCTCTTTAGTTCGGCAGCCACGTTGAGGAGGAAATCGCGATCAGGAGAGGGTTTACAGATTGAACACAAGACCTCCAAAGTTCGTCCACAGCTCCACAGGTCGGCCTGGATCGGCTTGTACGAGTCGCCCCGTTCGACTTCTGGTGCGATGTACCCTGTGGTGCCAGCTATGCCACGAAACTTTTGTTTTTCACTCTGCAAGCGGATAGATGAGCTAAAATCGATGATGGAGAGATAACCACCCTCGAGAGGAACGATAATATTAGCTGGTTTGAGATCCATATGTGCAACGAGTTGTGCGTGCATGAATGCAACCCCCTCAACGAGTTGGCTGGCAGCGGACCAGAGGTGCTCATCAGGCGAGTCAAGAGACGTGAGGTGGCCACCAGCGACAGGCATAGAGATCACAGTCCCGCCCTGCACTGGCCAGAACTTGGCCCCAGAGATGGTGTGGTTCATGGGAGATTGAATACCGCCAAGGAATTGCAGAATTTGAACCTCCTGATGCCGTGCGGTTTCGACGAACTTCAGGTAGCCGAGGCGGCCATCAGTCTTGCGTCTGACCATAGCGAGGTTCTCGTGCTGCAGTGTGTCAATCAGAGGCATGAAATACGAAGAAGCGAATGAACCAACCCCAAAGACGCGATAGTCAATCGTGCAGTTCATATTCAGCAGGTGTTCTTGAACATCATCCGCACCGAAAACGCCGAGCCCGTCCTCGTCCTCATCCGCATCCACATATTCCTCCTCACCTGCGAGATGTTCCGGGATGGCATCCATGCGACTGGTTCGTAGCTGTGGCACTGGATGATTCTTCGAGTGGAGTGAAAGGACCCCTTTGGCTGCATCTACAAGCTGTTTAAGGGTTTGTGCCCTGTTGTTGTCCAGGTCCTCAGCCAAATTGTTCAGCTCTCCTACAAGATTATACATTTCGCGGACGAATTCAATCGCCTCAGACTTGATGGTAAGATTAAAGTGGTTGCAATGGATAGAAACCTGTGTTCATTCAGTATAATTACATCCATCACAAGGCGGCAGCGAAAGACCCACCGCATTCCCTTGACGATACGCCGCAGCATGCTCGGCGTTGTCTTGACCAGTCTGCATGACGATGTATCGTGAAGCGACCAAGTGTTTGTTGAGGTATACGGCAACTACGAAAAACTTGCGCTCAGCTGTCTCCTTCAAGAGCATCTTTCCTGCTCGCGCAGCGGCTATTGCTTGGAGTAACATTCGAAAACGGTCATCCTCTTGCTTCAACGAAATAACTTCCGACACAAAGAACGGGGTGAGATGACGTGCAGACGTGGCCATGAGATCGCTCTTTGGCCTGTACTTGCGCAAGGCATCAGCGGCATCCCTGTTCCCAATAAAGATCGGGAAACCCCAGGGCATCTCTCTGAATTCCAGTGGATTAGTGAATGAAGTCGCCGTCAGCCGGGCACTTACGTCTCATATTTTATATCGGTGCTACCATCGGAGAAGAAGGGAGGCTGTATGAAGTACGCGGCGAAGTTGCCCGCCTTGACGGAAGAAGACCTCTGCGCACAAATTTTGCTTGCGTCTTCCCGAAAGCAACGTAGAATGTGATAAAAAGTTGCAAATTCTCGTTCGTTGCGAACCGTCAACCCCTGGGCTTCACCCGTAAAAGTCTTGAATATCCTGCCAAAAAGGTCACCGCCTTCGGGGTACTCGAGAGCTATTTCAAAATCATTATTTGGCCGCAAGGCCTGCAGCTGCCGAACCGACCTTAGCCACTACAAATTGGCGAGAGAAGGATGATGACCTACATCATATATCCGATCAGAACCCAGCAACTGTTGGATCTCCTCGATCTCCGCAAGATCAGCTCTCCCATTCTCTGTGTACCTTCCACCTCGTAAGTTATCGTGCACATCGTCCATCGTCCATTTGAGTGGCGTTGTTACAATTATTTTCAAACTCGAAAAGATCCTCGTGTGATCTCGTTCCAGCGCCGCGATGGCGTGACTGGACTCCTCTGGTATGCAAGCGAAAAACGCGTCAGAGGTAGGGCAAACCACTGCATACACGGAGCAACTGTACCATCTTGGAGCAAAAGGGCCAGACACACATGGTCCCGGGTAACTGTTGATTCGCCAAAAGACAACTCGACTGCATCGCTGCCTTTGATGGGTTCCAAGTGTTCCAGATAATTTGCTCCCTCTGCCTCCAACACCGGGGGATTCAATCGATAAACAGCGAGCTTTGAAATGCGAAAGTCTCGAAACAGGTCGTTGTGCTGTCGAACTCGAAGGTCCGATAAAAACATCCTGATTGTATCTTGCGCCAGAGCAGACACGAGCAAGATTTCGCTTTTGAAGTAGACCCGAAACTCTATTCTTGCAGTTGCTGCATATGAAGATGATGTGAGTCTCTAGCCATCGCGCAAAACTGAACGCGCACGATATGTGACAACGACAACCCATTCCCCATCGCTAATTTCGGGGAAAACATCGGACAACTTTTGTGTGGCATCCAAATGCTTTTTCCCTTTGGATCTCCACTTTCCGAGTTCATCCGCACGATTGGCACCCGATGGGACGAGGAGGGGGAAGAGGTTGAGAATCTCTGCATCTACATCCTTGAAAGTGGCCGATCTTTTGTGCTTCACGGCTTCTTGAAGGTCTCCCACATCCGCCGATCTAGGAATCTTGATCTTGAACACATTTGCTTCACCGCGAATCCAGCAGAGCAGTACGAGGTCCATGATGTGGCGGGAATCTTGCGAGTCTCTAGCCATGACATCTTGCGAGAGAGGAAGATAACGTGAGTCTCTCAGGAATGAATAACCAGGAAAAGCCCGGATCGCGGCTGCTACATACCCACTATGATATGGATGTGGCGCTTTGGTGGTGGTGCCGCGAACACCTCTGATATCTCATCCGAAGGATCCAAGAGTTCCCCGTCCGTCGAGAGGGTGACACCATTGAGAGTCTCCTTATAGGGTCTTCGCAGGGGATTCTTGAGCTTGAAGAGCTGGAGAGCTGGAGCGTCCACATCGCGAAATGTGTTCGGGTAAGATTCCTTTATAAGATCTCTGAGGGTATAGACGGTTTCAGTCCGTGAAATCGTGATGATGAAGGTGGCAGCGACGGGTGTACCTCGTACCCAGCAGCAGAGGCTGAAATCGTCGGACATGGTCGATTGAAGTTGAGAACAAGAGCGGATGCCACGGTGTCCAAAGTTGATGCTTATGTAATACAATCAACGGAACAGCGAGCTTTCCTTGCTCAACCGCCCCCCGACATGTCACGTGACATACCGGCGGCATCCTTTTGGCAGTGTTGGTCTTCCGAGTCTGACATGCACATGTTTTATACAATGCAACCCTTGTTATCTTAGGTCCTGGGCCCATAGATGCCTGCTCGAACTGCCTCTCATCTCTGGGTAGGCTGTAATTCATCTATTGTTTTTGTACAATAAAAAGACCTATGCACATGTACTACTGGGTGCTAAGGGTGCTGACTAAGCAAGCAAAAATGCGTACTAAAACACAGTAGTCATAAGTCAGAAAGGAAAACAACAAAAATAAAGCACATAAACCAAATCCCTTCACAGGGAAAACCAACTCCGTACATCTGAGGGGGCCTTGAGATCTTGACTCCCCCCAGTCAACCCAAAGGTAGTTCCTAAGCAGATGACAATGATGAGAAGGGAAAGGGGGACAAGTGCACGTCGCCGAACAACAACTGCTCGGAACGCTGTGAAACGAGGGGCATCAGTAGAGGGGAATGCGACTAACATGGTAAAAAAAGAACGGAGGGAATCCGCGAATCCTGTCGCGAGATATTTGCAAAATCGTCTGAAGGTGCCTCCAACTGCAAATCCAGAGATCCTTCTACATCCACTGCAGCAAGCGAAACATACCATACACCATTTGAAAGGCCTCGTCGAGTAGTACCATATTCTGAAAAAGCGAGAAGTACGACGGCGAAACGGGGGAGATATTACACATGCACCTGTGAGGTATCACCTGGGGGAGGGAGAGGGGAGACCGTCGAACGACAACAGCCGGGGGGATTGACACCAAAATCCAGGAGATGGTAGGGCACCCGCAGACGTACACAGAGAAAAAGGGGGCCACGCCATTTCGACCACTCAATCCAGAGCTATACCCAAAGTTGCCTCACCACCCTCTGAATACGAAAACGGGCATATCTCGACAACGGCTGTGCGGAACTAGATAAACGAGGCATCCCCAGGAGGGGTTCAGCGAGGGGGACAAACTGCCAAAAAGGCGAGAGGAACGGCGGAGAAACGCGTGAGATACTATCTCAAGTCCTCAAAGGTGGGGAGAGGAGAGTCGCCTGAATGACAACGGCTGGGGGGATCAGCACAAAACACTGGGTGATGATAGGGGACACCTAGACGAGTGCAGAGAAAAGGGAACTGCAGCAACTTGATCAGCCGGTCACGAGGTATGTGCAAAAGCATCGCACAGCACTCCTAACACAAAAACGGACATATTTCTATAATGACTGCACAGAATTGGACAAAGGAGGCATCCCCAGCGAGGGCTCAGCAAGGGGTACGAAAGATTCGAAACGCGAGAGAAACGGTGCGACGACACACGAGATACAATAACAAGACCTCCAGGGTTGCCCTTCCCACAAAAATGCAAATAACTCTGGAACCGCTTGGCCTGTTAGGAAGAGCCTATGATCAACAGGAAGCTATCATTGAGTACTACCATCCTGAAAAAAAAGTGAGAGACGCGGGCGCAACTCACATCTATTGTGGCACACATATGGAGTGCATCACCGTGTAATAGATTTTTTACTGCCTCGTCCACACTTACGCTTCCGACATTCCTAATGTGGGTTACCGCCGTCATGTCACGTGATGTCACGTGATATGTCGGGGGGCAGTTGAGCTGGGACAGCTGGAACAGCGGCCCAGTGGCATCCGTCGTAAATCATGTCCAGAATTTGCCACTGACAAGTGATAATGTAAGCTCTCACGTTCACGTTCCACAGCAGGCAAAAATCCTGTGGACTGACTGCTAAATCAAGTGCCAAACTGCTCGCAGACAAAAAATTGTGCTGTGCACCCAAATAGTGATGCTGGGGTCTATGATATTTGTAAATTTGTTGCAGACATTTCCTGTATTCATGCATTAACAAGACATGATGTCCAAGAAACACTAAATTTAGCCTGGCACTACTTTGAAATCTCTCAGCTAAAACTTGCAGATGAGCCCAAATGAGTGGCTTTTCTTTGTGACATGGCCTGCATAATGAGGTGCTACCATAACAGGCAGTAAATTCCTCATTGTATGTGCATAGGTCAGTGAGGACACCCCACACACTTTTCACAGTCTCTTCCTTCAGAACTCAAAGGAACAACAATTCTGGGAGTGACACAGCAATCACTTGCTTGACATATCCATCATCCTTTGCCCATTGCCAGAGTTTTTCTGGGTATTCATTGACAAGTTATTGCTCTGTGGCTGTGGGCTTCCAGGAGGAGTCTTTTCCTGCTGAAGGGTCCTCTGGTTTCACATCTAAGCCAGTCAGGTGTCCAATCAGCCCTTTTGAACTGACAGCCCATTCAACCTGAGCCTGTCTTCAGTGGACTTCATAGTCTTTGATTCAACTTCTCCACCCTGTGACATGACTTGCTGGACCACCTCAACTGTAGCCTCAGCTTTTACTCTGTCACCACTTCTTGCCTCATCATGACTGTTCCCCTTGAGCCTCACCTCCTTAGGTGGCTCACTTGACAGTTCATCAGGCTTCACACATAGTACAAGTGACTTGTCTCATGGTGCTTGTGCATATTTGCACTCGCCATTTGTTCCCTTTGGTTCATCCTTGCCAGTGCTTGACTGTTCAGCTGGTGTGCTGACACATTTTACAGGAGTGGAGGTAGGATTTGGGTTGCCATAGGTAGTTGCTAGGTAGTTGAACATTTCATGGGCCATCTCATAGTATTTGATGCACAAAAAGATGGAATTGGGCATATTCCACATCAGAATAGAGTCTGTGGTTCCACTAGACTTTGGCCATTCTTTTAGTTCATCACTACCTGGCCTTGGTTTTGGCTTTGTGCCAACCAATACTTGCTCCACATTTTGGATTCATGCAACCTTGAGTATCTTTGTGCAATACTCTTTCCAATTCTGTCCATTCATCTTGAGCTCAGGGATGTAGATGAAGCCTTCCCTAGTCCAGTATCTCTTCACTGCCATTCCTCTTAGGTTCCACCACTAGGTGGGGCTCATAACCTGAAGAAGTTTGTGGGGGGAAACCCAGAGAGGAATCTGTAGGGAACCTCAGTAGTCTGTCAAGCTACTAATATTGAGTATAGTACCTGTAGGGAACTATACAAGTTAGTAAGGATATTCTATCTATGTAGAAGTGCACTCACCCTCAGTAGTCTGTCAAGCTACTGAGGGACTAGGTAAATTATACTAGTGTATGTGTGCACTCTAATCACTTATGTGAGCAACATGATCACATGCCTAAGTCCAAGTAAGGACAGGGGTCATTTCACTCCAACATTGTAATATAACAATCAAGGCCAAGATGAAAAGCAAACATAATATAGTCTACCAAACAATGAGGAAGAGGTACTTACGCTTTTCTTCTCTCGGCGCAAACAAGTCTTTCAACTTCATCTTCGTCGGTCCAGTTGCACTGGCAGTGTCCGCTTCCGAAGTCACTATGGTGCCAGTAGCAGTCGCGGGTAGATGAGCAGTGGTCAGGTGCGAGTCTCCCATTTGGATACCTTCCCTTCGTTTCTTGTAGCTGGACACCTTATCGACTGGATTTATTCGTGCGTCCCCCTCCCTGGAGGAGGCATGCCAAGGCACCTCTTCAATCTCGCCTTCACCTACTTCACCCGCACCAGCATCAACGACCATTGTGGAATGATCACCGGGACCATCATCTATACCGTCAAATTCGTCAACACTCTCGCGTCCGCCCCACTCATCCGTCTCTCCGAATATCGTGTTGAGGAGCGTAAGTGCAGCGGATGTTTCTTTGCGAATGTTGATGTTAATGTCTGTGCCAAAGCTAGGGTTGGAGAAGTTGGCAGTGGGAGTGGGAGTGGTTTGTGAAGGTGGTTGACCTTCAAGGATGATGTTGGAAAAATTTTGAGAGGGGACATATTCACCATTGCTTTCCTCTTCGTCAGACTCGAGCTCGGTGGGGCGTAGCTCAATGGTGGGCTGGGCTGCAGACCTAAAAGGAAGAGAAGAAGCAGAGGGGACGACGAGCGTTTCCAAAAACGTGCCTGTCAGATAGGTCGAGTCCCATTTTGTTGGGTCGATCAAGCGTCTATGTGCCCGTAATGGCGGGACCTGTTTCTTCTTCGCCTTCTTACCCGTCTTTTCCCGAGTTCCCTGCCAACCTCCCATAGCTCATGTCGGTTCCAAGGGTTGCAGAGGCCTCATCCTCATAGGTCTAACAACCCTTCCAGAAGGTAAAACGACCCAGCCTGGTGTTTTCGCTGCATCATTACGGGAGAGAGGTGCATTGAGTGGCAGTGTGGTGGATGGGAAGGCGAGCTGGTGTCTTTTTGAGCGGGGAGTACGAGGTGGAGGAGGTGAAAGGGAGTTCAGATAGGCGATGCTGAGAGTATAGGGTGAGGAGGAATAGATCGACAAAAGGGTGGGAGATGTACCGCTGGTGATAATCTAGTTTTGCCTCTCCAACACGCAATTTTGTTCCCTTCCATGTGGACCCACTGAGCACATTCATACCTGTGGACAAGACAGAGTCAAGACGAGCAAGAGTCATTCGAATGAGACACCTCTGTACATTTAGCAATATCCTTTTCCTTGCCCTCCAACGTGGCATGTGCAAATGGTCTCGGGTCACCCAGTGCATCTAATTGTCCGAATCCATCCAAGGATGTGACTGACCCGAAGGCGGAGAGCCTGCGGTGGATGTCAGAGGAGGTGATGGACGGCGTGAGTCCGGAGATGTGCAGTCGTTTTGTCACCACCTCTGCCATGTACCAACAAGAGACAAAAAGCGGTGTCACGTGCACTCATGCTTTCCATCCTTGGCCTTGGCTGATATCAGTGCGATGATGTTGGACAGCTGAAATGCCCATCTGCCAACCTCACTGAAAACGGCAATAATCCGCTCGATCGTCCAATCTCTGCGTCCACCGATTTGCTTCCTTGCCTCGTACGCTAGTTAGCATATGGACGAGGCAGATACTAATAAACCAATAGCTCGATGTGCGATGCGCTTGATCAACGTAGCAGCCTTTCTGGAGTTTGAAACAGGGAAAACTCATTCGGATGCCAGGCTACTGGTGGAGATTTATAGTCCAATGCTTGAGGAAACAGGATTTGCCATACTATCTCACTGCTGGGGTGACCCTGTGGATGAGGTACAGTACATCGATATTGAAGGACTTACGAAGATGGATGATGCTGCCAGAGACGAGATACGGGGGCGCAGTGGGTATAGGAAAATACTCAAGTGTTGCGAGCGGGCCTTTCATGACGAATTTCTCTGGCTCTGGGCGGACACGTGTTGCATCGACAAGCGGAGCAGTGCTGAACTTACCGAGGCCATCAACTCCATGTACGTGTGGTATGCCAATTCGGATCATTGCTATGTCTTCCTCCATGACGTCGATGGCCGAAGGCTCCCTGCTCAACAGGACCACAAAAGTTACCCAGAATTCAACGGCTGGCCCAAATGGTTTTCGCGCGGGTGGACGCTTCAGGAACTTATTGCTCCCTCGAATGTCCATTTTTTCAATCAGAATTGGGAACTTGTCGGTGACAAGCATGGCCAAGCGCAAACTCTGAGCATCATTACGGGGATTTCAAAGGATGTCTTAGAGAAAGGACTCAGTTCGTCAAATCCCAGTGTGGCCCAAATTATGTCTTGGGCTGCACACCGGAGGACGACGCGAGAGGAAGACCGAGCATACTCGTTATTGGGGCTGTTTGGCGTTCATATACCAATGTTGTATGGGGAAGGAAAAAGCGCATTCCTTCGGCTGCAACGAGAAATCATACGGATGACCAACGACCAAAGTATATTTGCATGGTACTGGACAGGGCGCAAGGACATAGGGTGGTCCCCCAGCTTTCTTGCAGATGAGCCTGGCTGCTTTCATGATTGTTCAAGCATACAGCGGATGGATGTAGACGCTCTCCAGAGACGCCACCAGCTAGCAAGGTACCCACCGGACATCAAGGCATATCCAGAGAGATTTCAAACGTTCACAGACACTAATCATGGGATTCAAATATGGCTATTTCTGCAGAACGATCGGTCTTCTCCAGATCTCTACTCCGTCATGCTGGCATGCCGAAAGGCTGGAGAGCAGAGTCCCATTGTCATTAAAATGCGGCGATTCGGTTCCAACTACTCTCGGTGTTTTTACCGTCACCCAATTGCCTGGAACGACAAGGAGCCGACCGAATTCAAGCAAATTTTTCTTCCCTACCGAGACAAAGTTACCAATAACCTGAACATCAGAGGCCCCCTGGCCAGACAGGTACGATCCGCTAAAGCGTGGTTCGATGTGCTGCATACATACTAATGTCGATGTAGAACCGGTTGCCGCAGATTTCGTTTGTAGATATCATACCCAGCGATATCGTCATCGCGTATGTACTACCATCAGCCGATCCTTCTCGTAACCTCTATAAACCCGATTGGCAGGGTCTTAGGTGGATCAGGTTCCGGAAAGACTAGTGTAGGCTGATGGCAAAGTCTTGATATCGGACATTTCACTGATTAGGGAGCAGATCATCAAAAGTCTTATCAGAACCTCACAAGAAGAGGGGGCAGATAGGCTCACAGTCCCTACAATAGCTGTCGTCGCGTATGCGCGCATCAGCCAAGGGAAACGCTACGTGTTTATAGACACCCCAGCGTTCGAACCACAATCATTTGAGGTAATACTCAGGAAATTGTTTGAGATGTGAGTCAACTTGACTCCTTCCAGCCAGAAAATTTAACTAAGGCTTAAGCAGATACCAGAGGTCTATCAGGCTTACAGGTGTGATCTACACACACAATGTGATAGCCGGGTTTTCGCAAGACGACGAACGTAATATGCAGATTTTAGAAAACATGTGCGGGGAGGCAATTGGTCGTCTAAGGGTGATAACAACCATGTGGGATGCGGTTGATTTCCAATTTGCAATGGAAGTGGAGCACAAATTGATGATGTGTTGCGAGTCGCTTGTCAAAGCAGGTGCAAGTTGCCAATGGTTTATCAATAATCAAGAATCGGCATGGGGAATCTTACATGACCTAGGGGATAAGAAGGTGCCTCTTTTATTTCAGAAGGAGATGGAGGAAGGAATGGGCTTGTGGGAAACATCTGCACTCCGGGGATTTGCTCTTCCATGTGAAATGTAGTATCGCTATCTGTGTTGGATATGTACACTTCGACGTAAGGCTAGCAAGGATAAGTGGCGCTACCGGTATTCCATACTGTTGTCTCTCCTCTCCTTCTCTCGTTAAGATGGTTTGGCATGGAAGTCGGGTCACATTTGTCCTGAGGATGAGATATCAGAACGAAGGGACCACTCTCGCCGATCAGTGCACACGCTGGAGGTCTGTTCACAAATACAAAAGATTTAGGACATGGTAAGGAGCGAACCTACGGTGCCAAAAGCTCCTCTCTGCCAGGGAGATGGGGTATGATAACTGACACACGGAGCGACCCACACAGTACGTGTAATGCCCAATTCTGCTATCAAAAGCTCATCCTGGAGAATGGTCTAACCGACAGCAATGTTGAATAGCATTACAATGTGCACCCTGGTGATCACATATGTCAACCCTTCCTGGGTGATTTCTTATGAGATTGCGTTAGCACACTTATCAATCATCATTTTACCATTCCAGAGATGACAGAGCCCCCACCAAGATTATTCGTTCCGTCCACTACAATGAACAAGTATATAAGAAACCAATAACGTAGGCGTTCCTCAGGCGGATCATCGAGTTTGTGTGGTAGGTGCTTAAATGTGAAATAGACACATCTGTATACCCCACGAAATCAAGCCAATTAACATCAACCCTCTACCCAGCGGTGGACGAGAAGCGTCATGATATACCCTCAGTAGTCAGAAGTGTTGACATATGACATTTGAGAAATTGTTTTGACTGCTGCGCTTCATGTATTGTTCTCGACACCAAGATACCAAAGCTTTATCGACGCGTCGCGCACTGTCGGCTGTGGACGCGCCCTGCGACGTTCAATGACACCACAGGGCCGTTTCCAGCATTGAGCTCCTTCACCTTCACCGCTATCTGAGGCCGAGTCCGAGTCTGAGTGTGCGTTGCCCTCACTTCCTGTGAAGGAAACGTGGGGACTAGCCTCGGCATCAAAGTGTCGGGATCCTGAGACAGATAGGAGGACTGGAAGTAAGGGGTGGAACGTCACACTGCCGATGGCGTCTACTCCATCAATTGGTAGTCAGAGACATGCATAAAACTCGGAGGGGTAAGATGTAGGTTAAAGTGGTAGGGACCAACCTGCGTGAGCCTTGAACTCCTGAACTGGCCGGATGACATTCATCGGATCGTTTTCTGTGTTGCCAGTTCCAAAACCAGAAACTCTAGCCATGCCTGTCTCCACGAGGTGGTGGTTGGCATGAAGGTCGTATATTGCAATGTTCCCTACCTAACCAATACACCGATTAGAATCGCAGAACCCCCCAAAAAAGTGAGAGGCAGTATAAAGAGCACGGCTAGGACATTAGACCTGCCCTAGAACTCACCTGATCCCCCTTTCCCATCCAACGTCCGCCGTGTTCAATGTCAAAGTGTATCTTCTGGTTAGTCCGATTGTATTTTAGTACACCGGCGTCATTGTTCCAGCCACTGCTGCCCGGGGCCCTTATCGGCATCACTTCCTCCGGCTCGAAACGGCAAACAGGGGCTGAAGCATTGCGTAGGTCCCACGCCCACACACAATCACTCCGCCTAAAGGAAGCGTACAGCTTAGATGCATCAGTATGGCTGAACATGAGCTAAACCAGTTGGCGGGAAGAGACAACACACATCAGCGAATACAAATGAGCGCACCGTCGCAAACATGAAATTAAACGAGAGCACCTGCATGACTCCACCACTCTCACGTGTCCAGACGCCGCCTACCGACAGGACTTGCATACCTTCTGATCCGTCATACAATGCGATATTGTCAGCCGCAGGAGACGCCGGCGTGAGGGTGCCAGCCGCAAAATAGGTGCCTGTTGGAGAAAAGGAAAGTGCCGCCACAATGCCTGCCAATGGCGAAGATGTCCAAATACGAGTATTACGACGATTAACCCCACCAGCCATCAGCTTACTTGTATAATGGAAAACCCACCCTTTAGCCCCTCCTTACTCTTTTTTGAAGGTCTGGTATGCAATCTCTTACCCTCCCCTGGTCTGTGGATGTCAAATATCTCAATCTCATCTTGGAAGCCGCAGTACAACCTGACGCAGACGAATGTCAGTTTCGGTACCCGAATATCACCGTAGCAAGGAAACGCGCGGACTTATCCGCAGTGAGATTAAATAATAAACTGTGAGGTGCGATCTGGCGTTCGCGATGGTCAACGATAGGGTAGGATGCTCTGAGCTGGAAGCAGTCAGTCTTCCAAGCTCAGTAATGAGGCAAAGATGACGTGAAATACCCTGCCATCATTGCCATCCAATAGCTTAACGGGACATTCGCGCACCGAGGCAACGAAACAGTATGTGGCAGGATTTCGTCTCAGCGCACTGGGATACCACAAGAAATCTACGATCGGGGATGGCTGACGGAGCGTAAGGGCATGGCTCAAAGCGAAACAACCTGGTTTGAGGAAGGAGATAGTCATGTATACAGTTGAATTAACATCGTTTATTATCTCACCTTGTTCGCCAGGGGATCTATGAAGAGCTGAATGTGAATCTGGACGGAGGCGTCGGCCACCTCAACCAAAAACAGAAAACTCACGTCTGAATTATTTGGAACGACCTGTTCTCGCACTGCAACAACGCACTCGAACCATCTGCACACCTTTTTTCAAACCAGCTCAGACGACGTTCTCTATCGTCATTAAGAAGAGACCTGCCAGAGGGCTTTTCGAGCGAAGTTGTACTCAAAATCTGGATCGGGGTCCAGCTCGGCGTGCGACAATAGCAGACGCATATCTCTCGACGTAACGTTGTAGACTGGCACTTGCAATGTATCGTACTCGCTAGGTTGGGATCCGGTGGTATCGATCATGATGGGCGGTTCGAGATGTAGAATCAACGCATCAGGCGGCTACGAACCGTAGGAAATATTTGTCTGCATTGACCTACATACGTAGTGTATCTCTCACGCTCCCGAATCTTCTGAATCGTCCTAACTACCACTTGTGACGATTCACTCTCTACAATACTGGGATGAAGGCTACTTACTGGTCACGGCGGTGGCGTGCACCCACCTATGTATCTTCATACCATGACTTGAACTCATGCCATGTGCCGATTGCCGGTTCTACTGACATATCACACATAGCCGCAAAAGCACTCATTTAGGAAGTGGTAGCTCGCCGTTGTGTTGCTGTCGTAGCCAATAGCTACGTGGATGACCGGAGTTCGGTACGGCAAACCTGATTCCCTTAGGTGATATCATGCATCCTCCGTGGGCTGATGCACCCACTCGTGGCATGGTGAAAGATAGTACCATGTAGTTCAAGAATTCACCGTTTGCTATGTGTATCGCGACGAGCGATGGGAGCTGCCGCCTTCTCACTGTTCTCGACAAATGAGTCCCGACAAGGGACTTGAATACTTGCTACCCCAGTGCGTAACACTGTTATGGATTGTGCTTCACGAAGGCGTACTGCATTCGCCATATCGCAATTCCCCTAAATAATGTACGCTCAACTCCAACTCTGCCGGTCTTCTCTTGCTATCCAGGATCAAAACACATTACTCCCGCTGTCGCATCGCGTATTGCACCTGCTCCGTATGGACATGCATATCTCTCACAGCCAATGGGATCGGCGCCAATAATCCCCCAGCTGCAAAAAAGATACACAAATGGATCGACGGACCCGACGCTTTGGCGACCCATACCACATTCCACACATGGTGATTCCGAACCCTCCCACCTATCAATCCATAGCGGAAGAGATGGAGTGGTATGGAACGACGTTGGGAAACACCGCGCCATCCTGCATAACAGTCGTTGTCCGGTACAGTAGCCCGTGCCCGGATATGATATTACAGTGTCTAAGGTACCTTTGATGCAGTACGAGGAAGCTGGTTAACGACGGTCCGTCGGGCTCTCCGCGGGACTTGTGCCATTTGTCAAGCACGTCTTGTAAGACCTCTTGCATATCCAAATTGATGGCTTACTGTGTCGGTGGCTTCTCTTGCCGTCGGGCAAAATAGGTGAAGGCACGATCTGTGACTTTCCTGCATCCCCCGACGTTGAGAAGATGATGTTGGCCAGCCGAGGTGGAGCTCCATTGCAATCGCTGGAGTTCTCCAACTCCGGTATGCTAAATTTGCTAATCCAGTGCTTCTTCGTATCTCTCATTTGAAGAATTGTGACATGCCAACGGTAAGATGATCACCTGCTATGACGGTGATACGGACTCCGCCTAAGAGCGCGCCTTGTTTGCCTAGGGGAAACTCCATCTGCGGGCCACGTACGAGCTAACACTTACCAATTATCGAATAGGCTTCGCACCATACGAGACCGCAGCAACGAGGAAAATAGCCATCCAACCGTTGCCAAATTGTGGAGTATCGTGTAGGCCGCGCTATTATATCACAACACGTGCCGAGGGAATTTGATAATTGTAGCTCCCTCCCAGCTTGATTGCTCCGAAGCCTTTTCATTTTGATGACTACCCGTCATCTTCGAGGCCATTCTAGCCAGTCTACCGAACTACCATCCCGCACAATCACGGAATTCGTAGCCCGGGGCGCATGGTCCAATCCACAGAACGTGAGCTCTATCGCGGAACACATGGAACGCACATTCCACTGCACCCAAAGAATGATGCGCCCAGCCTAGAATTCGTCTTCTTTTAGGTCAAAGGATAGCCGACTGAACAATTCCGCCTTACACGTCCCCCAGGAAGCGGTTCTTATACTTAACAAGCGAGCCTTCGGTTGTACCTAATCAAACTGTCTAGTAGCATCTGGGAAACAGCTACGCGACGCGGCTGTTAACAGCTCTTTCGCACTTGAGCGAGCCCTCTCATTGGCCAACAAGTGTCTTAGCGAGTCTTACGACAAGTCACTTCCAAACGGAGGCAGGTATAACCTGCTTATTCCCTCGGGTAGTTTTGCAGATGAGGCTCCTCTCGATGCACCACACCACGAAAGACTGCATAGATCACCTAATCGCAACATAAGACATCGAAGGTACCACGACGTGGGAACAGAAATGGAACAGGACATCTTGAGACCTGACTAACGGATGTATAGCCCGTGTGAGTGTGGCAAGCAACGTCCTTTCCAAGGTCGGCAATCACGAACGCCCTCCCTTCGCAATATCTGTCAGTGACGCGATAGTTATCAGCATGACACCCTTGGGGACAGGAAGAAACTTCCACATGTGGGCCTATCGTAACACGAAATGGATGCTATGCACGCAAGGATGCATGACAAGCAAGTACTGAACAAGGAAGAAGCGGGCCAGATCAGCGTGTGACTAACCCCTTGAAGTGTTCTGTTGGCAACTGGCTGCAGCAGTGCGCCGCTATGATATTCACACGTTACTCAGCTGGGAGGAGCCACAATTCCATTCAGCACAACGAATTTACAGCCTGCATCAATTGGCTAAGGAAGGGAAGCGTGTACCTGATGCCCTGATGCGATGCGAATACTAACTGTAGTGATCAAGAGCAGCTCCGCATGTACTAGAAATCAACGCTGCCCCTCTGACCACTAAATGACCGAAGTTCTCCCCTTTGTCATTTCTTACCAAACTGTTGTTACTGTAATTTCGAAAACAGCGTCGTGCGTGAAATGGCGTTGCCAACCTTCATTAGTTTACGGTACATTAGGTGATGATGAATAGATCAAATGAATAGATCAGACTGTCCCCATACATATGTAATAATATTCAAGCTCTCTATTCCCCTTGTGGAGGATGGGAATAAGGAGAATTTGCATCGTTCTCTTTTCCATCGAACTCAGGCATTCCGGGACAATGGATCCATTGGCCACCAACTTCCCTCCCACGTTCGAACCCGTCAAACGAAATACGGTTGCCATTACGAGCTTGACTGCAATGCACCCCTTCTTCTGGGTGAGTCGAAATGATTACCTTCGCTACGTATTACAAGTACTGCTTCTCAACACCGTACAGTCATTGGACTTGTTCCTCTGGCAAACCTGGTCTCTGCTGTCAAGTCCCGTCTAGAATCCGAAATCCTACGAGCAGGCTAACGTTTTAATCCACTGGATTGGGATTGGACAAGTCCCTCAGGTCAGTGAGCGCAAACCAGACCAACGCGTGTCGAGCTGAGACAATGATGGGACAATCACTCGGGCTCGGTGAACGGAAAATGGTATTATTGTGTGCATGAGGTCACGACTTGAGGCATGCTTACGTCCGCGGCTTGGTCCCATGCACTGACTACCTTGGCTACCTTGCGGTGAGTGTGATAATTGTGTCTTCAGTGCGACCAGCATTCTTAGTTCAGCACAACTAATGGGTTCCGAATTCGTCCAGAAGGCCTACTCTTTGGGAAGGACTTAACACCCGTACACCAGTGGGCACCTTCGGCACCATGTCCAGCTTGGTTGTCAGCACCGGACATCGGCAATCAAACGGTGACTTCTTGTCCACAGCAAGTCGACCACAAGTGCCCACTGAGAGTAAGTTTAGCATAAGTTTTGACCATACGTACTTCGAACAACTCAAGCTTTTCTCCAGAAACTGCCAAGCTTGTTAACGTGCTAGATAGTTCCTGTTGCATGTCCAAAGGCGTCCTTACGACACCGCGTAAGGAGCATGTTGGGAAACACCTATTGTGAAGGACGCATTTCTCTCTGCGACCTGTTGAACAATGAACCGTACGGCCCTTCTTCGGGGCGCGGGCGCCCACCGATTCGGTGTTGTAATACACTGATAACTCTGACTTTGGCAGTCTTCCTTGCCTACATAGCCGCTTCCCGTGCTCCCCGGATCACAGGATCAAGTTCGTATCGAGTTACGGCGGTTCGTTTCAGAATTACATCATTAAATTGATGGCACTCTGGAACGAAGCACTTGAAGTGAGTGTGCGTATTACTCGTCCCTATGTGTTTGACACTTGAATGCGTGAAGTCCAGCATACAATGCTATGACGTAGCAGACGGGCATAGCATTACTCACTGGACTGGCAATTTGAAGAAATAAATGAATACGACCGTTGAGCGCTCTGTGGACTGGGACGAGTTCCATCAGTTTCTGTAAGTGCTAGTCGGCGTGTTGGGCTCCATCATAATTTATGCATATATGTACGACAACAGCACAGCAACGATCCCACATTCTCGTGCGCGCGCACTCGTCCCCATTTGTGATGGCGGGTTTACGATGGAAATGAGCTATGTATGCGCGAGTGTTCACCTAGAACTTTCCTCAGATTTCGAACCTAATCATGAACGATTGGTATGGTGTCATCTGCTATTATGTAAGTATTAAACTCTCGTCTGGGAGTGTCGCTCGGTCAGGGGAGAGCGAGAGGAAGAGAAGCAATGGAACAAACAAAACCCAACCACCTATACCCTAACCCCTTGCCATACATACATCGTCGACAATCGTTGAACGCGGAAGCGCGCGCCTACGTATCGGTGCCAAAGGAATCACCAACGCGCTAACTTTTCATTCCGATCGATCAATGTATATATCACACCATCATATCATCGAAGATGTGCCGAGATCGAGAGAGTTTGACTCCAGTCGATGGAAGATTTGTCAGTGACAGAAACCAGGCACTTATATTCGCAAGATGCCTAAGTTGGTTAATCCGTTGATTGATGGGATGACTCGCGGCCATGGCTGCTTCGAGAGCGTGGGGTTCATGGCTCGTTGCAGGGAACAAGTACAAGACCACTCGCTTCCCTGCTTTCTTTAGTGACAGTTCTCATAGAGGTCATGAACAATATCATGTCAATGTACACGGACAGTTTCGCATGCGAGGATATTCGATGGTATGTAATACGTATGTACACTCCCTCGTGCTCGACATTCAGTAAGAGAAACATCGAGCATGACAATCACAAGGATCGTCCCGATGGCACCGATAATTGATGCCCGATTGTAGTCCGGACCAGATAGAGTATGACAGAGCCAACTCGATGAGTTGACACCCGATTCCCCCCGCAACACCATAAACACAAGCAAAACTTTCCTGCCAAAACGGGCAAATAATGGTCCAGTGTTCCGTTGGAGTCGGGCACATTCGTGACTGCTGGAAACGTTGCCTCGTTACTTAGGGGGTTCTGCGGCTGGGTTCTAGTCGCAGCACAGCAGAAGCGGTGCCGGCAAGCTGACTGATTGGTGTAGCAAGTCACCTACAGGTGGCCGGCCATAGGTGTGTATAAAGGTTGCCACATCACGCCGAGCATATATATGTACAGGATGGATACGCCACTGCACACATGACTAAATATCTGAGGAAGGACTGGATGGGTCGAGTGCTGGTTGGCGGCTGACAGTGAGGACATATGATGTGAATGTGGCGAGGGGGAAAGGGTATGGCTTTTTGGAGGTATCTATCCGCAGCGAAGGAGAAGGATGTGGATGTGGGGGGAAGAGAAGGAGCGTCGTAACGTGTCGCGTCTTCTATTGAGTGCGATGATCGACTTGTTGGGATCGAGATTGGGTATGCATATGGGTGAGGAGAAGACCAGGCACGTGATAGGGGGAGGCCACACGTGACTTGTTGCTGTGTTGCACGTGGACATGCCGTTACCAATTGGATTAGGGCAAAGGGTGTTGCAGGAACACGTGTAACGGACGATCGGAACGAGAATTCCGTGTCCGCATTGGAGGGGTGGGAACGAGTTGCCATATTTTGAATGTCTCCTCGTATATCTCATTTCTTACTTATATTTTCCTTTTTTTTTTGGGCCCACATTCCGTGTTCGCATGCCATCCATCGTCAACCTCAAGTTCAAAGTGAGCCGCGTTGGCGGAGGGACGTTTGGTTTGCTGACAAATGCCATCAGGGAAACAAGTCCTTTGTTGCTTTCAGCAATCTAAGCGACTCGGAGTCGCTAACAAAGACATGGAAGGTATGTAACTACCAGCGTATATACACTCAACTCGGCTCGACTCGACTCAACTCCTTCCCAGGTGTGCACAAAGGTTGCCAGCTACCTCGAACAGGGCCAGCGTCTTGAAAACCTGTCTTGGAGACTCTGGCATCTCCAGTCCCTCATCGTCGACACCGACAATGCCAGGTCAAAACGCGAATTCAAAAAGTTATCCAAGAACATGGGCGACAAGCTCGACAGAGAAAAGGGCAGGTGCGTCCCCCACTTCGTCCGCCAAACCCACACCTCCAATAAATTGCCCCCCCACAGGAGCATCGAAGAGCTCGAGGCGCCAGATTTCAAGCGCAACGCTTCCACAGATCTCATCTGCCAACGCGCAGCCGAACGCGAGCGCAGTCGCGAAGCCAATCAGAATGCCATACCCGGCACCATCAAACGCATGCAGTTCACTTTCTCAGTCGATCAGCCGTCGCCTGCGGCCCCAAACAACGTCCTCAGCAAACCCGATCTCAAACCCTGTCCCGAATTCAAGGATTCACACACCTCCGCCGCTAGACGCGGCCGTCAGGCCACTCGTTCGTCCAACCACAACTCCGTCGCAGGCGACGACTCCAACAACGACCAGGATTCCTCTCCCCCGGCCATGGCATCCCGTAAGCGAAAACACTCGTCCTCTGCCGTTCATGTTCTGCAGCAGCCTACCCTCAAATTCCCCTCTTTGTTCTCCAACGACTTCGGTCCTTCAGCTCTCCTATCAGCAATCCCCACCTTGACCACACCTATGAACTACGGCGAGGACGTCACACGTTCTTCTTCCACATCTCACCATGCCCTAAGTATCTTCAGGCCAACCATTGAGCTCCCCCTCGACGAACTCCTCGACTCGTGCAACGAAGAGACGCCTTCCGCGTCTTCTGCATTGGACGCCATAAATACCCCCGGGGACAGTGATATCGTCATGCAAGACCTCCCAGGTGCGTTCATGTACACCTCGATATCGACACCCCGAACCGACACATACCCCTACGGCCAACGTCTTTCTCCTCCTATCTCCAATACAGGCGCCACTTCTACATCCAATGCCAGCGCCACCTCAACCCCTAATGCAAATACAGGCCCTGCAAATCCCAGCATCTCATCTTCCACCCCAGCTACCGTCACCAACCCCAACGTCGGTACAAGCGTTCATTTGACTACCCAAACTAACCCCAGTGCCGGTATGACTCATACTAAACCCAGTCCTAGCACTGGAACCCGCGGTCGTCCCTCTTTGACAGTTAAGACTTCCTCACACCTAACTCGGTCCTCTACTGGCCCTAGTGCCACTGCATCGGGTGTGTCGGGGGGTGCGTCAGGTGGTGGACGCGGTGCGAGCGCTGTGAACACTCCAGGCGGTGGAAATGTAAATACTAACGGTGCCCATGGAGGTACCCATGGATCCATCAAAGCAGAATGCTCGAATTGCGGTGCGACACATACCCCCTTGTGGAGGCGCGGATTGAACGACGAGCTAAATTGTAATGCGTGTGGTTTGTATTGTAAACTGGTGCGTCCCCTCCCGACCTATAATGGACTCTCCACAACTAAATCTCAACACAGCACAAACGCCCGCGCCCCAAAACCATGCGGTCCAACCACGCCGAGCGACATCCCACTACTTCTACATCCCATACATCCACTCATACATCCATCCACGCGTCCACCTCTTCCAACGTACACGGTAGTCATAGTAGTGCCAGCGCACGGGGTGGTGATAATATTGGAGAGAGCCCACCCGGAGCTGGGCACACAAATACGCATGGGAATCACAGCGGAGGAGGCAGAGGCAATGTGTCAGGTACGTTATTTTTCTTCCTTGCTTTCGATGGGATATGGGTGGTGTTGGTTTCCTTGTTTTGGTGTTTCGGAAGCAAGATGTTTTTTTGGGGAGGTGGGGGGAGCCTGACGCTGACTGGATCATCGTTCATTTGGGTTCATTCATTATGGGATCGTGCTGGCGACGTATGTGCCCGACGTGTTCAGCTGGGACGAACGGGACGGCGCAATGTTATAACTGTCATACAACCGCGACACCACTCTGGAGGAAAGACGACGAGGGCAAGACCGTTTGTAATGCGTGAGTGCTCAGCTTTTCGTTGATCTCCACGAGAGGGATGATTGACATATACTCGTGGTCGGTTCTGGGGTACCGTAGATGTGGCCTCTAGTGAGTCCTTCTTGCCTTCTCTAGTACCGTGATGCGATGAAATTTGGACAGCTACAAATTGCATGGCTCCGCCCGCCCCATATCTATGAAATCTGACGTGATACGTAAACGATCCCGCCATGACGCGTCTGCTGCCGCAGCCGCAGCCGCCGCGCGCCGATCTGTTGCAGATACCCATGGCTCTCAAGTGTCCTACATCAATGCCAATAGCAATCACCATCGCGATGCCCGAACGCCTGGTTCTAGGTCATCTGGGTCAGGCACGACTTCGGCGTCTGCTTCACCTGGCCCGAGTTGCCGCGCTTCTCCAAACGTAGATACCCTCGATGTGAGCGAGTTGAATGGTGACCCTGGCCTGGGAGGGTTGGGTGGCGGTGCGGGAGACAGATCCCCAACGTTGGCTCCGGATTCGACGACGCAGCCTGCTGCATATGAATTTGGGGAGGATGGAGTCGTAAATGTTGGTGTTCATGGTGTTGGTGTGCACGGCGTGGGTGCGGCAGGGACCAGTAGGTCGGAGTTGATGGGAGCTTTGGGTGGTGACAACGTCGTCTCTGGGTATGGGTCCGTCTCGAATCTCAATATGCCCATGAACATGAGTAGCATGGGTCTTGGAGGAGGGGCAGGGAAATGGAATCACGTTAGGCGGGATCCATATCGGAGGTGTCCTAGGACACGCCTACGCAGGAATTTTTGGACACCATGCATACCCTGGTCCGTATCACCCGGATTATCTGTCCTCCCAGTTTCACTTGGATGCCGCTCTTCCGTTTTCGGGTGTCGACGGGATGGACGGAGAAGAGAGCCCAGGAGCCGCTGCTACTGGCGGCGGTGCCGGAGGAGGAAAGGAAGGAGAGGGAAATGGGGAGACGGACGCAGATGAACACAGAAGCTCTAAACGCCGCCGCATGAGCACCGACTCAGCGAGCGAACCACCTTCGTCGGCGGTTTCGTACTCGTCGTATGCTGAGAGCATGATGTCGACGTCTACTGCCCCAACCTCGGCGATATCTGGTCATTCTCCGCACCAGACACAGCAGCAAAGCCAGGCTTCGAAACTACATGGTCATGCGCATTCGCAGTCGATGTCCGCGCAGGGTCAAGTTCAGGCACAAGCAATGTCGGCGGGTACGCCCCAGTCGCAGGACCAGGCACAGAATTTCTCGGGGTCACACTCACAAGGACATGGTCATGGACATTCCCAATCTCTTTCTTCGCTCCCGCAGTCTTCTTCGCTGGCAAATGCACACGGTCACTCACACTCACTCTCCCATTCTGGTATCTCGCATTTGCATCCACAGTCATCCCTTGCAGCAGCACACGGACCGCCATCCTCTATCTCGCTTGGGTCTCACGCGCACCACGTTCCTCCACATCCTTCGCAAGCAGCCTCACATCACCCTCTCGCGTCTCACCATGCGTTCTCTTCTCACTCGCGGAGATCGAGCATGGATTTCCCATTTTTCACTCCTTATGGTGTGTTCCGTGGATCGGTTTCAAACACGTTCTGGCATCCTCCGATGGTGATTGCTGAACCCGATCGGTCCCCTCAGCCGTTCATTCATCCGCCGATGTTGTTGCCGGATGATTGGCCGACCGGTGGCGAGGGTGGGTCGTCATCACCAGGTGCTGCTGCTGTTTCCTCGGCAACTTTGGTTTCTGGTGCGTCTTCGGAATCTACTTCGGTATCCGCCCCGAATGATGGGAGTTCAGGTGGGGCTGGGTCGTCTTCCTCCAATGCTGGAGGTGTAGCAGCAACAGCAGGAGGGTTCTCGTTCAGTGCTGGGTTCCATCCTCCAATGCTGTTACCCGAGGAGGAGAACCTGTTCGCGACATATTTTCACCCCCCGATGTTGTTACCTTCTGAAGACGGAGACGTACAACAGGACGGAGGAGATACTACAGGGTCTTCTGCTACGTCACATAGCGAGAATCAACAACACCAACGGAGAATGGACGACGGTAGCCAGCGAGATAGGCAAGAGTAAGGCCGAGTTCACTCCTCCAATACACTCGGTTTCGCTTGTTCGCTCACTTTGCGGACGCCACGTTCTCATTTACCCGGTCACGATCTGCGGCGTTGAAGTCACTTTCTCACATTCTTTTCTCTTCTCTCTGGCATCAGAAATCTTTTGGCCCTTTATTGTACGTCTCTTGGCTTTTTTTGTAGGCGGGAGTAGACGGCATGGCAATCCAACCAACTGAAAGCAATGCGTATTCAATGCGGTTTTTTCTCTCCTGTTTCTAGCTTTGTCTGCCTCGTGGGTTTCGTTTCGTCGTCGCCAATTGTTATCCACTCTGATCTTACATTCATTATACTCCAGATCCCTCTCCCTGTTTTATTTCTTCTCCTTCCTCCACACACATTTTCCTTCTGTTGTTCACTTTACAATAAAGAGAGAAGAGTTTGGTTCCGAGGGGACGATGAGCCATGTGCAGTATGTAGTCACATACCTATAGGCAGTATAGCAGTGTAGCACGGTATCGGTTTGTATGTAGATAGTAGTAGCGGTGCGAAGGGCTTCGCGTATCAAGCCCCCCAATGATTGTTTCTGTCTTACTTTTGGCATGTTCGAGTTGGAGGACGTGAATGGTGTAGATTACGTCATTGAATCGTCAGCACCAGACCGCAGATGGAGTCGGGCTTGAAAGACACCAAAGTGTTGAACACACGAACGACGATGACTTCCACCATTCGGTATCTTACTGCCAAGATCGCCAGGGAGGTAGGTGTGTTGTTTTCGTATTGAGGCTCTCGTGATTGGGATGCCTGCACATGCGCTAGATCGATGAGGAGCTTATGAGTCAGACGGGAGCGTTTAGCTTGGATCAGGTGTGTATATTTCTTTCGTTTCACTGGACTTTGTTGGGTGAACTTATCTCGCACCCCACATACGCAAACGGACCACATCACACCGCATACTACCCGGAAGTTGATGGAACTGGCTGGGCTCTCCTGTGCACAAGCCCTCGCCAAGGTCTACACTCGGGACGCGTATCGGAACGTGCTGGTATGTTGCGGGCCCGGGAATCAGGGAGGTGACGGGCTTGTTGCCGCCAGGCATCTCTGTGCGTCACTTTTTTTTTGTTTTGGATTGGTTATTGGGTCGTGGTATTGACGAAGTCATGGTCATAAATGTGGTGTGGGTAATGGGGACTACAGCGATGTTTGGGTATCAACCGGTGGTATATATGCCCAAGGTAAGGGGTCCGATACGGGTTCTTTGCAAGTTCATTACAGTTGCACAAATAGTTTGGTTCTAAAGACATATACAAGGTAGGTCAATATCAAGGGTTTTATACAATGACTAACATATACAACACGAACTATGATGCATTGCGCAAATACACACGTCGATACTAGCGCCTCCACCGACAATGTGACAATATGGATATCCCCACGCTTCCATCCGACATATCCGCTCTTGAAACAGCCCTTCCAACCACGCACGTTATCCTCGACGCTATCTTCGGTTTCTCATTTCAAGGACCTGTGAGAGCGCCGTTCGATGCAGTACTCGACAGGATCCAGGGATCGGGAAAACCGATCGTGTCGGTGGATATACCGAGCGGATGGGATGTTGAAAAGGGACCGGATGTGGAGGGATGCACGGTCATTCATCCTGAAGTACTGGTGAGTTTGACGGCGCCGAAGGAAGGCGCAAGGGGGTTTAGGGGGAGACATTTTTTGGGGGGGAGGTTCGTGCCTAGGTGAGTTGCCAAGCGCTCATTCGCTCTCAGAAGTGCCGTGTCGGTTCGTTTTCGAATACGAAATGATGATTTCGCCGTGCCACTTTGCACAGGTCATTGGAGAGAGTTTATGAGTTGAATCTTCCAGAGTATCCTGGTGGTGAACAGGTCGTGGAGCTCCCTCCGGCACAGGGAGAACAAAGTGCTGGCGATCAGAGGGCGGTCAGGACTCAGTATCTGTGAAACTGTGAAGAGCTAAGGTTCGGAATGACCGTCTTACTCGTGTCTGGTACATACTGGTACATATTACTATACCTTGTCCGTTGGTTTGGTTGTCTCGCCAACCCACGGCACTGGAACGGTGTAATCCACTTTTGCACCGGTATCGTACGTGTTGCACAGACCACGGATCACATAATGTTTATGTACATCCAATTACCTGGCACCTGGCGACGGAATTTAAATAAAGAAACGCTGAATGCGGAGCTACTGACGAGTAGGAGTTCGAGTGTTTGTAGTTGTACTACCAATTTGTTCCTATTGTGGATTTCCCCTTGTAGACCTAGCTAAGAGATATCGAGCTGGTCTTGCCATTTAGGAAAGTGAGTAGACAGCGCCATCGATATGATTAGAAGTACACAATGATAAAGTTACGTCCTTTGTTTGATGGAAGCTCATGATTCGGGCAGGTGTTCTTCATGTCCCGCTACTTCCTACGTGTACAACGCACGAGTTGATGCGGTGCATGAGGTGTACGCGACACGGAAAGAGGTGGATCAGGATCTGTTCCCGTAGATTGAAAATTTCCTGGATTGATTTCATTTAGCTGTGGCTGGGCACAAGACTGATTGCAAATAAGCATGCAACTGGTCCTTATCTGCGTACATACACGGCGATAACACTTACAGGGCGCTGCCTGCTTCACCTTTGTCAGGTCACGGTAGAACCGGATTTTGCCATCAGGAGATCATTACGCTCCGATGTGTGGCGTCGTGTAGAATTCCTGCCTTAGACTGGCACGGGGTGGGAGGTAATAACGTCAAGTAACTGGATCTCTACAGGCGCAGTCCTTGCTTTGTCCTGCTTGTCTCAGAACGTTGCCATTCAGCTGAATTTTTCTCATACTGCCATCAATCAGACGTTTACGATTACAGTACGTACGTTTGCAACACATGCATAACGTTATACTTCACGCTGGGACGCGCATTTGATTGGAAGAATTGAAGCTCGAGGGCAGTTTGTTCGCGCAGTAAGGTTGCCGTCCGTGGCAGTATCAACATAAAAACAACGGAACTTTCTGAATGGACTTCTGAAACGGATACAAAGGTGTCCATGAGGACAAGGAGAACCAACTTACCGGTACTCGTTCGAAAGGGAGATTTGGAGCTTGAGATAGTTCCTTTTAACCTTGCCATTGGAACATGGTGCAACGGCAACACCACGAGCAGCATCCAAAAACACATGCGACTCGCGCTCGACTCTCCGCAAGCAAGTGGCGTCCCGAGATCCAGAGAGGCGAGCTGGTACCGGAGAATTTCGATGCCAGGACCCTGCAGTGCATAACACGAGTTCGGAGAGAATAGGGAAAGGGATCGGTCCCTGGTCTATTTCACTATAGGTAGGATTTTCCTGTAGACTGGGACGTCGGCGGTGGGACAAATCGTTCATTTCGTTGGATGGGATTATTGAACACTTATGACTTACATGTGGACTGATTCAAGCTTCCCAAGGGAACGGCCATGCACCTTGTTTTACCATACCTTGACCCAACCCAGTCCGACACCAGTTCGAATAAGTCTCCTTCAAATCCTTCCGAGACGGACTTCTACGGTTACTACTACAAGTTCCTTAACACCCATTTCCCTCCTGATAGCAACTTTAAGGTCGGCTCCTGAACCTGCTTGAGATACACAGATTGCCTCATCCCCATTCTCTACGTCGTTGGCGCGATGAGGACAAGCTCTGTTTCTACAGCCGGCCTCACAATGGGCGGCTGACTCCCCATCGCATGTCTTCGGGGCTGGCGTCGGTTACAACATCCAGGGAGCGTTGAGATTCCGATATTCTCGGACGACGGAGAGGATAAAGCTCAAATGTTTCAAGTCGTTGGAGGAGAGATCAAGCGAAGTTGTGCGACTCTATGAAGGAGGTGGTGCATTGCTGGTACATACTGTACGTTATCTACCTGTGAGAAGTAAGTACTAGGAAGCTGAATTAGCAACCAATGGTGATTCCTGCAGAAGTTGCTTGTCGACACATGTGCTTGTCTTGGGGGTACAGCACCACGAACAAATCAGCTTCCTTGCACTGTGGTGAAAAGAGAACATTTCAGTTCTTCGACTACCCAGACCATAACCATGGCGGTCACTCACGATTTCACGTCTGCTCCCAAACCGAAGAACGGCAGTTCGGTTCGCTTTGGTCGTGTCGAGTCGTCGTCATCAGCTCCCTCCAGTCCGTTCGTGTACCTCCCCGTTGCAAACCAATCCAGCACAGACTTGTCCGGTTGCTCAATCCATCGCCCGTCCCAATGCGTCCCCATCTGGTGTGCCACTACATACTTCCCCTTATGTGCCATCACTCGTCAACCTGCTGCTGCGTTCACGACCAGTTCTGTATCGCATGACGCCTGCCATAAGGGAGTTGATATTGGCCTCAATCGTACGGTCTCCTGTGGACGATCGAGTCAGCCAGCGAGAGCCCGCCGAGCGGGTGTGCATCTGTGCGGAGAAAAGCAGGAAGCTCGATAGTCCATGGAGTGTCGCGCCTCCCGATATCCTTGTGTGCGTGCAGCATGCTATTCATGTCTGCATACAGCTGCGTGGCGAGCTTTTCGTCCTCAAGAATTTCTGTCAGTGCCAAGAAGTCATGTTTGCCGAATTTGCGTACGATCCCCAGAGGAAGACAAGCAGCAGCCAGGCCTTTTCTTTCATCGTAAGTTAAGATGTGGAGTGTACCTTCCATGACGTGCACCGATGCGCTGCCTTCCTCTGCCCGAGAAATGCACGTGTGGAGTCGACCGATGAAGCGCTTCTGTCGGTCGCCGCCAGTTAAATAGGACTTTATGCAGCCTTGCATAAACGATTTCGTTCAAGCAGTTTATGTCGTCGTAAATATCATCGGTGAACGATGGGCCAAAACAATCCATAGCACGACGCTGCGAGCCGACATCTGCCCACCGCCTCCATTAATGACACTGCTGTTGCCCCCCTCTCGGAACGTACCCCCAAAACGTCCACCTCTCGCAGCAGCCATGCTACGTATGTCGACGTAAACTTATTCAGGGACGTTTTGGCCAAGGTACGTCCAACCATGGGAGCTATCTGATGCTGTAGGATCTCTTGTAAGCGCGGGACATTCTCCCGCAGTCCGGCGATCGCTTGGGTCAGCTCGGTTTGGATGGAATGGCTTTTGAAAATGTGTGATGGTCCCGCAAGACTGCGGCGATGCCATCGAGAGAGGAGATGACAGTTAGGTATCAGCCACCAATAAACATTTTAAAGACTGGGCCGTATTGATTGCTGGATGCAAGGTGATGTCAGCATACTAGTCAGCACAGGTTCGACGGACGTACACTTACAAATAGCTCTCCGGGAATCCAGTTTCGTTTCGGACGTATTGGATACCTGTGCCGATGTACGGGGGGAATCTGGACATCACACGGGGGTATTCCTCTGCGCGGGCGCGCCGGAAATAAGGCGATACAGATGCAGGCGTGACGAACGCTGAAGCAGTCACAACGAGCACGCCTTGTAAGGTCATGAGATAAAGGTTAGGAGCCGTAGCGAGAAATATAGTCTCAGACTTGGCATTTCAACGATACAAGGCATAGCTTTTCAGAATCAAGGCGGACAAACCAGGGTGTGGCTTGCATTCGGATCGCTGGAGATCTTGCTAAACCAGTGGGGCGTTCGAAGATGTAGAGTTCAAGTATAGTTTGGTGATCTGGACATCGTCGGTCGCCGCCTCGTTACTGTAATTTGGTTGGTATGCAGCTTGATATCCAGCACGGATCCTTCGGTGGTGTATCATCGCTTCATCAAGCACTGACCTGAGACTGATAAATGAAAATTAACCAGGATAAGCATATGTGTCTAGGAACGAATAGGCGCATCTACCTCTGGCTTTCGGCCAGCCGCCATATATGTACATCATTTGATCAATGTGCTATTTCATGAAACAAGGTCATTGTGATCGGCGGCCCAGCACGGACTCTACCATCCCCCCGCTAACTCTACCCAAGTGTGTCCGTCATAGTTGAAGCTGATGGTATCCGGAATAGTCACTGGGAGAATAGACTGCTTGAGTCCGCCAGCACAGGTGCTGCAATGGGCATCCTGTAAGTTCTCCCTGGCCCTCCCCACGTGACACGTAATTGGCGTTGCACATGGACATCTCGCGGGTGCCCGAACTACACCACTCTACCACATCCGGTAAGCTCTTGACTTCTGCCCTCTGGCGCATTACTCCCACGTTTAGACTGAGAGTTTTGATCCCCCCTGGAGTCTTGTGGTCGGCAACCTGCACGTATTGTAACTGTGAGTTCATAGTTTCTATATAACCAGGTGCTACATCTGTCGCTGCAAGTGCTAGCTCCTGCTCAATACTCGCATGATTGTATCTACCCCGGGGCTGTACGCGCTGCGCCTTTTAGAGCCCTGAGATCAGACAAAAAGAGTACTTGACATTCCTTTTGCGTTGGTGAGCCGCATCATGCTGTCTTCGAAGTCGTCACGTCATAATATCAGGGGGATGAGCCAGGCACGAGGGACCACACCTCCTTATCGTTTACTAGAAGCCGAAGACCGTCTCTCTCGGATAAGAAACCAGCGTCCACATGGCACACGCTTCAAACTTTATTCGCCAGGCCCTCTGCTCATTCCAGATTAGTATCATTATCCATTGCGAACTCATCACATCATACAAACACATCTTCTTAGCCACCGACACCCCTCCATACCGCATCCCCGCACTCCATCAACTCTAGCCACTCCTTCCGATGGAACCTTACCCTACGATAGGGCCACTGTTCCACGCTTATATCGGATACCTGCCCTGCCTCCTCTACACTCTTCCCAGCACGTAATGCATCGGAGCTCCCAAATTCAGCAGAACGGCCCTTGATTACGCTCCACACGTTTTGCCCGATCGCGACGACACGTACCTGTGGAAACCCATGCTCGACGACGACTTGTGCAGATCGAATACGCGTGTTCGTGATACCGACATACTTCAACGAAGTGGGGATGCCGGGGCGAATTTGCTGGAGTCATACGAACAATCAAAAAAGGTATCCGGTCCACCCCACGATCGATCAAAGCGGACGACAGACGGCAGAAACAAATCGACACCACACGTCAGACACCGACATTGGAATGTCAAACGGCACGAAAAACTGTACCTTCAAAAATGATACCACGTCTACCGCTGCCCCTTCCATATCTAACACCAGCGCACTGACGTTCCTTGGGACGAGCCATCCCGCCAAGCCTAATGACAAGTCGCCTGGAATTGTCATCGCCAAACTCCTCAGCTGCGACAATGCCGGTAGGACACCCCACGCTGACGCGTCAAACCCGATACGGCGGTTCTCCGCGCCACACGGAAGGAAAAGGTGGTAAGTACGTAGCTGGGTGCGATGTATTACAAATTCAGAGATGGAAGGACATAGGTCACGATCTTGGACGTGCCGATTTAGAGAAGTAATCCTGATATGAAGATGGCGGAGGAACGGGAGGGCGGATCGATGTTGCCGAAACAGTGGTGACGGCGAACACTCCAGTGATCCCGACAGCTTCAAGGAGTCAAGCTGGTACCCGTTAGACAGGATCTCTGAAAACATCTCCGTCGTGAGGTGGCCTCCGAATTCAAGATTCGAGAGTTGGCGGAGTGAGAGGGCATCCGCCGGGAAATGCCAACAACTGTTTTGGATGGCGAGTGCACGGAGGGTATCGCGGCTTTGGGCAATGAAGATATGGGTGGTAGTGGGATCGCCACCTTCGGAAGTTAGAGAGAAGTGCGTCAAATGCTTGAATCTTGGTATGTCAATATCTACCGAAGGGTCCGCGAGTCTGTATCGGGGGGGTTCGTCACACCACTGCGGTGACATGAAACAGAGAGCTGGATGGACGTACTCGAGTGATAACTCTTGAATTTTGGGAATACACTTGTGCATGCATCGGACGGCACGCAAAATGAGATTCTTGCTCCCAGAACAGTGCACCTTTCTCAAATTTGACAATTTCGGGAGCGCATTGAGGAGCATGCCTAGCATGATACGGAGACAAATGAATTGATAAGATAACCTAATTTTTTCCACACGGAGAATGTATTCCACTGACCAACTTGGAATGCCAACGATTGCGAAAGGTCGTGCGATGCGGCATGAATGCCCAAGGTGCGAATTTTCCCCGCAAATTGGGGGTCAACAAGAATGCGAGTGAGGATATCAGCACTACGCTGATGATGCCAATTGTCAAGATCTCGGTCTACGTCCGATGCATCGTCGAATGAAACACCCGAATCTATCCCAGTTAGTTCGTGTAACGGGGTTAGATGAAGATCTATCTCCCGAAACAGAAGCTGACTAGCGATGCGAGAGACCGGATGGGGAACTAGGAGGAGAGATTTCAAATCTCGTTTTGGGAGGAAGAGGGCAATCTGTGTCCATACTTCGATGGAGAAACGAGGAGGTCCATTGGGTTCTCTGAGAAGCTTGAGATGATCGTAGTTGACCTAGTTGTTCCCTCGAGCTACCCGCATCTGCTTACCATTTCAGGGCGAAGATGTTGAGAATGAATGATGTCTTTGACGTCCTGATTGTCGGGGTCCAGCGTTAAGACCGAATGAAGATCTACCCGTAGAGACCTACGTCACAGTAACAACAACGGCAATTGATTGCGACCACGTACCCTGTTGAGCAGAGGTCCGATAACCAGCGACAAGCCTCGTTTTGGCACGCAGAATCAGTGCCTTGGTGAGGTCTACGCACGGCAACCCATTGGTCTTTAAGAGTGCTTGAACGGAATTTTCCATGATCTCCCGAGAGCTTTAGTCTTCCGCTCAAAAGTGGATCTTTCGTGAAATGCCTGTGTTGTACTCACCCTCCTTCTGCAGGCAGTCGCTCGAGTGCATGCAATAGTACAGACGCTTTCTGATGGTCAGTCAGGCGCGCCGTCACATCTCGTATGCAAGCCTCTAGAATGCGAGGATTGAAGACGTTCATCGTGATGGCGTGAATCTAAGCCGTGGAATGCTGCCAGTACAAATGGCCTGATACTTATACCGGTGCAACGCCGGTTCTGAGACGGCCGTGGTCACTCTCATGATTGGTTATCTGCTGAACATATGAAAAGTCTAGGCCATCGCGGACTGCCCTTTTGGAGAAAAATGAAATCGAGTGTGAACAACACGCCTGGGATGGGAAATGGAACCCTAGCATCAGGGCCATATTGGAACTGGAACTGCAGTTGATTGGCTGGCTACGTTGCCAAGTCAAGTCGCACGAAGACGGCATTATGTAAGCAGGCCAATCCTTTCCCATTCCCAAATTTGCGCCTTCAACTATTTCAACCTTGGGACTCATCTCGTGAGTCCGCGCCGCGCGGTGCTACCTTCTAACGTGTCAAAGAAGCTCTTGACACCGGGATGCTGAAGGCACACCAACACACGAACTGACGTTATCGTGGCGGCTCTTTACGCGATGACGACGAAATGTTTCCAGCGTATGTTTGAAGAGCAGTGAGTTGTCACCAAGTTCGGGGCTCCTTGTAACTGTCTTGCAAGTTGCAACGGTTGGCGTCGTCTAAATATCAACAGTGCTTTCAACTTCCGTCATCGTGCATTTTCCTTGAAGTTTCGATCAAACAAATGTTGGATAACCACTTTGTTCGGCCACGAACTACTAGGGGAGGGAACGCAAGGTATTTTATGACTGGCACTCTTACTAATCCAACATATACGTGCGGGCGTGCTTTACTAGTGAGTGCGCTGGCGTTCCTTGACGGTACTGCTTTGCCTCACCGGCAACCCTACCCGTGTAGACACACTATTCCAAGAAGAACCTTTGAACACCGTCGGTGTTATTGGACTCGGCGTCTCCTTGGCGATCAATGTACGACATTGCCATACCGGTGAATACCTTAAGATGTTCACAATAGTGACCGACTGCTGCTCCGCAGTGAACTTGGAACAAAGACTTGATAACCCAGCTGAATCACGGATATTCGGTTTTCTTCCATTTTGCAGTCCTAACAGCTCGTTTCATTATCCAAGTACAGTACAAGATCCACGAAAGGGGGCAAACCAGTTCGTTTTGTTGCTCAGCGGTTGCTCGCCTTCTTACGCAAGTACACTGAACTACCCCATCTGGAGATGCGAGACCCCTAGTACACCGTTGCCGCAGACTGTAGCCGCACATTTTCTGGTACTCATCAAACACGCTACCGAAATCACTTAGGCTATGGAGCGAATGCCCACCACTCGAATTGGTGGCTCGACGTACAAGAATGTACGTCAGGAAATGACATCAGGCAGAAGTCACTCGCTACGTTCTCCTTGGTTTTGGCTAGCCATTTTGGTTATGTTCGCATTCTCTTCTTTGCTTGCAGGAGACGCCTTCCCGGAGACTTAGCTGTTCCCTTCTGAAGGTGCGCCAAATTGCGACAAACCTGCTTTCGGGTCATGCAGCCCATAATTCGCAAGTGTCGAGTTGGGTTCGTCACTAGATGGAGGGATGAACATATACACGCATTATATCACATTCATATGACACAGGGCGGAACTTATGATGACTGTATACAAATAGCACACCGAAAACTATGTCTACGAGTATAGCTGCAAATGCAATGTCCGATGGCGATAAAAGGCAGGCTCGTGAAGCAGCATTTGAGTATGCAGTAGGTGATGCGACGTCGACGCGCACTAGTAGAGTGGCGAGCGGACACCACGTTGGGTGGGTAGGGGGGTACCGAGGCGTGTGTTTTGTTCATAGTTCCTCAGAGCTGTGTTCAGCTGTGCGTACAGAAGTTCACTGACCCCATTGTGGTGGCGCAAGCCTGGGGGTTAGCGACTGACGCGTCGAGTGGAGAGGTCGAGACGACGAGCGACTTTGGGGGCGCCAACGCCATAGCACCTGCCCATACATTCCGCTACGAACCTACATATCTGTCGGCGTGAACGACGGCCTAGCCATTAATCAGTCAGTGTTTGAAATTGTCTACCCGCCCTTACGCACCTGCTCGACCCCGGCCACAGCGCAGCACAAAAACAGAATGTAAAACAAAAAGAAAGAAAGTGAAACCAACAAACGAATCCGAACTAAGCGAACGAAGAGAAGTGTACACATACGATGCAAAGAGAAGCGAGGACGAACACGATAACACATCCGAATACGACAAGATATATACACAACGTACGCCGGCGTGAAAGCGTAGTAGAGCAGGATCGAGACTGAAAGATATGGATATGGAAGACAGGGAAGATGTAAGAGACGATTAAGGAGCCGACGAACGAACGGTGATGACCCCAAATCTATATCTCAACAACAGGACCAGAAGCACGTAAAACCTAGAAACGATGGACACCGAGCAAGCCAGCGGACAGACAGGCGAGTGGGAAAGGGTCGGTGAACAGATCGAACCACACACTATGCACGGACGCGTCACCCCCCCTCCGAAATAATACTCCCAATGCTCAGTACGCTTTTCTTCCCACCACTCCCAACAGTACCAGAGGGTACTCCTCTCCCTCCACCTTCGTGCTCGAAAGGGATACCTGAACCGTGTCCGTGACCATGCACCTGTGACGCGTGCACTTGCGCATGTGGATGAGAGTGCGGTACAAGGGAAGGATACCCAGAGGTCCCCGTTCCACGAAACCCACCTGCTCCAGGTGACGACGGCGTGGGAGACGCCGACGACCCACCGGCATGGGCGACGTGCCGGAGCGGTGCGAGATGGATCATATTATTCACGTTCGCATTCGAGAGGGGTCTTGCAGGTCCTTGGCCTTGATTCCCCGCCGTCGTAGGCCACTCGTGCGTTGCATTCGCAGACGATGAAAGACCTGTATTCGTGTAAGACGACGTCGTTGCGTTAGGACCGAAGGGGGAATGAACAAGATGGGAATGGCCGTGTGGGTGACCACCATACACTGTTTGCGTAGGTGGCGCTCCTGCCTGCGCTGACGCACTCCCATATCTCGCGCCTACTGAGGTCGGAGAGGGTCCTGGACCATGTGCTGGGGGGGTCGATTCACTCCTGGTGGTCTGGGAACCCGTCGACGTCCCAGGATGGGTATAAAACTCTCCGTAGTCGTACGTACTGCTCTGCGGGCCCCATGACGATGGGGACGACGTCACGCCGCTTGCGTGGTTATGGTTTGGATTCAGCTGGGGATGATGAGTTGACGGTCCGGCGCCAAAATAGCCTTGCTGTTGCGCCGTCGAGCCTTCCCCCTGATGGGTCGACGGGTGCGACTGAGAACTTTCGTAATATGACCCAGTTCCACCGCCCACATTTGCTCCCGACTGATGCTGCTGATGTTGAGACGAATAATGGCTAGACGCATATCCCGTCTGGGACTGGGAATGTCCAAAACCCGGTATCGTGGAAGCCCCAAATTGGTTTGGGAACCTTGAAGGGGCTGTGGAAGGATGCGAGGAGTATTGCGACTCGTGGGTATGGGTATGGCTATGAGTGCCGGGATGGGTATGGACATTAGGATGGACATTGGGAAGAGGATGGCTATGGCTCTGAGGGTGTTGCTGGGAAGAGGATGCTTGCTGTTGCGGATACCCATGTGTGGGAGATGGTTGGGTATGTTGTTGTTGCGTCCCCACATATCCGGCGTCGGAGGGGTGACCGTAACCGCTGTGTGGTTGTGCATGATGTGGATGGGAAGATGTATCTGGATGGTGGTACGACCCTGAAGTCGTAGCCGTGTCCGAGACGTAAGTCTGGCCAAACGTGGAAGACGGACGTGGATTTTCGAACGATGAACGCTGTTGTTGATGTGCATGGGTGTCATACGTCGCAGACCTAGCCGCGCCGGCTGCGGCAGCATTGGGATCAAATCCCGATCGATGACTGCCCTCGTAAGCTGTCCGAGATGATGTTTGGTCATATCCACGAGAAGGTGTCTGGTCATATGCCCGAGATGAAGATTGTTCGTACGTTCGAGATGATGTTTGGTCGAAGGCGCGGGAGGACGTCTGGTCGTACCCCCGAGTGTCGTACGCCCGAGACGATGTTTGATCGTAACCTTGACGAGGAGGTGGGTCATACACAGCGCGCTGCGTCGGCGTGTTAGTGAATACAGCTTGTTGGGAGACTGGTGGTCCCGTTGGCGAAATGTTCTGGGAGGTGTTGGTGGACTGGTAGGACGTCGCGAGCGGTTGAACTTGGCGTGTATGCGATGTGCTGGATTGAGCAGCAACTTGTTGGCGAGTCCCTGACCCATCGTAAGCTATCGTTTGTGGAGCCATGATGTGCGCGCCGGGAGGCGGGGGGATATTCGCTGGAGGTACTTTGGGAAGTTCATACGTTGCACCGGGTGGGGGAGGAATGGAGGATGCCGATGGTGGTGTTCCGGAATGCGCTGGCGAGGGGAGTTCGATACCCCCTGGAGCACTCGCGACGCCCAACATAGGGTCGAGCGTGGTAGTGGTAGGCCAAGGGGGAAGACCGCTGAGGGTGCCTGAATTAGCGCTCGGGGGTGTTGTGAGGTCGCCGGCATGTACGCTGGTATTCAGTGTCATTGGATTATTAATCGTGCCATGGCGGGGACGTTTGCCAGGGCCGTTGGCAGGAGCGATAGCTTTTCCGTGTTCGTCATCTTGGTTTTCCTCGATCTTGTCGCCGTCGATAGGTGCAGCGAGGGAGGCGATCGGTCTCTTGCGAACGCGGATGTCCTTGCGAATGCGTATTTTAATGCCTTGGTCAGCTAGGGAGCACGACAACGGCGTGGACTCTAAAATAGGGACGGAGTGGGGCGGAAACATGCGAGTGCCGAAAACGTGCCTGGTGAGTCCACGGTAACTCCTACAAATGAGAAACAGACCTTCCATGCCGGGGAACTTCTTTGCGGTGTAGACGTAGAACGGTATGGAGTAGATGGACTTGCAGTGACGAACGATGTTGCTGTGATGAAAGCATGTTCGAAACGAGAAATTGCAAGTGAGAGAGGGAAGGACGTTACCCGACAACCTCGAAGAGACTGAGCTTGAGACGATAACTTCCTTCGGTTCGTACGCTAAGATCCGGAAATACGAAGAATCCAGCGTCTTCGTTTCGATTTTCGGTGTCCTTGAGGTGGTAGAGCGACGATACGACGGAACCCGTGGTGCAACGCGTCTTTCCGTCCTTGTAGCCAGGTCAATTACACGGAACTGGCTGACCGAATAAATAAGTAATAGAAAGAGGATGTACCTTTAGCCAGTGTAATTCTGCGTCGTCGTCGGGCTTGGCGAGACTGGCGAACATGAAGTAATAAGGGTTCTGCAAGAAACTATGAGCATAGTGGAGGTCGCCATCGTCAGCTTCGGGATGAGTGGGGGGTTGACGGGTTCGTTTGTCGATGACACGGAGTTGGATGATGGGAGGGGGATCGATCGGGCGACGGTCGGCTGGATGAGAGCAGGGTGAGTTGGGGTGTGCGAACGAGGGTGGAGAGAAGAAAGAGGCGCTCACAGCCCACGCCGCACATGCGGGCTTGCTTTGGCTCCTGTCTGACGGTGAGTTCATACTCTCTAAGATAAACATGAGTTGGATTAGTGACGGGTATGAGCAGAACGACACGGGATGGAGGGATATCGGGTGCGATGAGCTGAGAGTGGAGAAGACGGAGGGACAGACAGGACTGACGGTGGAGGGGGGGACGAGGGGACGGGGGGCTTACAGTCTGTCTCTGTCATGGAATGCACGATCGCGGTCGAGGTAGGGATACCCGGGTGCGATCGTGCCATAGCTCGTGCTTGCAACGTCCATGAGCGTCGGGGGTGGACCCACTGAAGTCCCGATGATGCGATGCTGGTTGGCGTTGGCGTTTGGCCTCGACGATGGGTCTGACTTTGCTGGTCGTTGGCAGTGTGCAGTGCAGTCTTTCTGTTTTTTTTTTTTTTTCTTTTTCTTTTTTTCTTTCAGTAAGTACGACTTTGTCGATGGGGAAAGCCAACCCCTCGTGCTTCCCACTGATACGGCTCTCACGCACGTGGCACCTCTCACGCGCATGCACCGCCGCGGATGCTTTTGGAATCCACTGCGGAAGCAAATGTCCCTGCAAGTCTAGGCCACGTCTGAGACCGCCAGCGAGACAGACCTTCCGTGGACTACAAGGTGCTGGCCTGGCCTATACTATGAGCTACTATAGACCACCTTGACACCTTTCCACCGATGAACTCTCGTCCCGTGTCGAGCAGACGAAAGCGCTAGAACTTGTCTGGGCGTATCGAGCGCGTATAAGGACTGGCGTTGTACATCACCGGGACTGCCAGTGGAGGGGGAGGGGGAGGGGAGCACAATATCCTTTCCTTCCAATCCTCTATGTCAACCAATTAGATGGGCCCCATTTTGTTCAGCGCGGGTCAAAATGTGGGTTTCCAAGATCATAACAAGTCATAAAGTCCTCCTGTCCCTGCAGAGACTTGGAGCCCAGCCGGTGATTGGCCGGGCAGACTGGCCCATCACGTCATGTGATATCATGGACAGATTTCGTCTTGGCGTAGTACATGCTGTTCAAGCTCTGCCCATTCAAGAAGAACGCCTATAAGATATTGTTGCACTATAATGTATGTATATGATAAATAAACAAAGCAAGAAGGTATAGCAGCAGTTTACGAACATAATGGCAGAACGAAATCTAATCCCACGCGCTTCCAAAATAGGGGGATTAGTATTCGTAGTAGCCCTCGTAATACTAACGCACTCTTCCTGGACGCCGTCAGGCCAGGTCTGTAAACTCTTTATGAACACCGATCATACCAGACCAAGGGCTCCGGTCACGTGCAATTTAACATTATTTATACACTGCATACGCACAGCGGCAAGAAGGGACTCCCATGGTAGATAACTGCCTCAGCTGTTATTGTTGGTCACTGGCGGCAGTGTATATGTAACAGTGCGATGGAAAATGTTCTGGGGGGGCAAATCAGTTTTTGCAGGGCGCTTGTTGGCTCATGCCTCGCAGCCATCTCTATTATGCGTTGCTTTGTTTTAGTGTTTGACCCACTTGTCGATGAGGATGTCAGTGGTATCGTGGCCGAATGACTTTCAGACCAGTTGGCTCATTTCGAGTGAGAGCAAAGCAATCGTTGTCTGCGAGTGTGCCATTGAGATATCAAAGAAATGTCGTGATTACCATTGGGGACTGGATCTGTAGGTGCCTGCTACCAGTACCTAGTGTACTAGCAATAGGTTGTGCTACGAGTGCTAATTTTCCTGTTTTGGCAACAGCGCGTGGGTTCGGCCATTATCTTTGCAATTGCGGTGTAGCGACGGACTCAAGATCTCATTTAAGTACATCTGAGCACTCCTTGTGGTTGATTACTGCGCGTGTAATCCCTGGTAACGAAGGTGCCTGCCATCCCGACGGGCTTGTTCAACTCTATCTAACTCTATTTACGCAATCAGCTTACGTAACTATATAGTCTGTACATGATTCATTTTCATCTCCGGCACCTCCAGGCGTTTGTGCTAGTACTGCGTTTGAAGATGGGCGAGACGCTGTACCAGAATAGATCTTGGGCTATGCGTGCTAGGTTTACACCTTCAACCCGCGTGCTGTTGCTTCCCTTCAAATATCACTCTCCCAGACCTCTTTTCGATGTGCCCCCGTCAAAATCATGCTCACCGCAGCCGTGACTACTGCGTGCTTGCTAGCGGCGTATTGCACATGGAACTATGCATCGAAGCTAAAGGTCAGTGAACTGAAAGTAGCCGTTAGCTGTACTTGCAATGCCAATGTTCTCTTTCAGAGCGTTAACTACTTGCCTGGTATGAGACCGCCCCTTTCTGCGCTTAGCATATTTGGTGCCCTCATGCCCACGTCTTGGTGGAACCCTGGCCTCAATTGGTCTTGGGAGTGGAGGAAAACTAGTGAGTCAGCAACACTTTTTGCTCAAGGCGGGGGGATTCATTCCTTGCAGATTATTTCAACTATAAGCACGAAGTGATATCGATGGTTCCGTTGGTTGGTCAACCCGCGTATTACACGTGTTCTCTTCCGGTCATGAAGCAGTTATTGAAAGAAGAAAGCAAGTTGGGGCTCATCAAACACCCCGAAATGACACCTGCGGTCTCGTACGTGAATTTCATCGTGGGGTATTTTTTGCAGCTCACATTTCTAAAGTATCTGGGGCCAAAATCTTCTTACTGCAAATGGAGATGTATGGAAGCGCCATAGAAGGATCGTTGGACCTGCGTTTACAAATAAAACGTGGGCACATTCTTCCATCCTTAAATGTGTACTGAGACCATCCATTAGCTACGATCTTGTATGGCGGCAGGCCGCCGCACTTTATGAGGACATGGTTAGAGCAGCTAAATGGGAGAATGAACAAATGGTCACCGTACACAATATCAATCAGTATACCCGCAGTGTACGTCAAATTCACATGCCGTCATACCATGGAGGCTCATCCGTGGTCTCCGCAGTTCGCGTTAATGATCATTTCGCGATGTGGTTTCGGCCTTCTAATGCCATGGAAGGACCCAAATACCGAAACAACTGAAGAAGAAATGACCTTTTCCACTGCACTGGAGTGGGTCTCCGCAACCACAATACCATGGCGCCTCGTCTTACCGCGTTGGTCATACCGACTACCCATCAGATGGTATCTTTCATTCCGTTCTTATGCTCTCTCGATAAATTAATGGTCACAGGCTTCGCAACATGGAACATGCTTGGTCATCATTAGCGGTGCACATGAACACGTTTATCGAAACAAAAGCGCAAGAGCTCGCTGGGATAATAGACGGTGATGATCATGTGCAGCGTGGCGACATCTTCACGCGCCTCGTGACTGCGATGGACAGCTCCGGAAAGACCGGCTTAGAAAAGCAGGAAGTCGTGAGTTGACCCATCCTGATCGTCATGTACAATAATTTATAGTGGACATTAAGATCGGGAACACTTTCACGCTGATGTTTGCTGGTCATGGTACGTTTCTTGTCTCCGGGAATCCACCTAGCTGATTCATCTTGCACTTCAGAGACAACCGCGAACGTTCTAGCGGCGACTTTGGGTTTCCTGGCAATCCATCAGGACGAACAAGAGAAAGCCTATCAAGAAATATTGGCAGCAATTCCTGCCGATCGTGGACTAGTTTGTCATTCCATGTGTACTGTGACTTCTGACCAGCGCTCTTCCAGGGTGCAGAAGATGTCGCAAAACTTACTCATACCTTGGCATGCTTCCATGAATCTGCAAGAATGTTCCGTGCGTTATCTTTAATTCTGAGCTTAGTCTCGGCATAATGTATGGCAATCAGCTGCGGGGAACATGCTCCCAAGAGATATCATTGATGACGTCACGGTAAATGTAACAAGTCCTACTCCGGGAACTATCGTGTTTCCCAAGGGTTCGAGGGTCATTATCGACATGGTCGCTATCCGTAAGTGGGTGTCACGCGCACTTACTCCTTTAAAACGTCATGCATAGATCACAACCCCGAGGCGTTTCCTGACCCTGATGTGTGGCGTCCCTCGCGCTGGTACGGGGTATCCGAGCCTGATCTCACCATGTTCGGCGCTGGGCCACGTGTATGCGTAGGGCGCAAGTTCACCCAGGTGGAAGCGGCTTGTTTCTTGGCGCATTTCTTGCGTGACTGGAAACTCGACGTCGAGCTCTGTAATGGGGAAACCAGGGAGCAGCACGAAGAACGAGTGATGGGGAATACAAAGCTTACTGGTATTGCCTTTGGGGTTGGACTCGTGGACCTGAAGCTTATTGCTAGAAAGTAGCGGATTCATCCTGTCTCCGTTGGGCATTTTGTACTTCTGAACATGTATCTCAGTATTTCTGCTCGTTTTCTGACTTCGTGGCAGTCACGCGGAACAGTCCAGTGTGGGTAAGGAGGTTGCGTCCACACCATCCCTGGCCATGTCGACAAGACAAAGTCACTGGGTGTAAGTAGCGGATCACCAATGACTATTTCTACAGTGAGCATTCAAGGCCATCGTGGACGTGAAACTACCACGAGATAGCTCAGGAATAAAATGAAGACGAGAGCTATTATGTACACACTGGCAGGTACCCTGCCGTCGGCAACGCCATGAAGGGAATTTCCCGTACCACCGGCTGAGAGAAACAGACGGGTTGCATCGATGGCCCTGGTCGCCTTCGATGGGGCGATACCACGATATGTCAGTGTGACGAGGAGAGAGGTCCTTGGCAGTAGAGTTCCCTGCTCTCAGGTTTAATATAAGATCTGCAATGGTACCAACGGAATTCTCCTGAGCACAGGAGGAAGTTCGGGGCTGCCGCTACGTGCTCCGCGTTAACTGGAACCATTGCGTTGATAAAGCATCATTCATAGATCGCAAACTAACACGTGGCAGTGTGATTCTGTGTACTCGCATGGGAGGTGATATTACGTACTGTCCCAACTTTTTCACACACATCACGAGACATTACAATGTAAGTTAAGGTCCTGCTTTCCCACCCTGCCTTCTAATGCATGCTAATGGCAGAAAAGTTTATGAAGATGATGTTATAATGACATAAGAATGGCAGCGGGTTTCATCATCACTGCCTGATGTAGTCATTATATTTCCCTTAAAAGGCTATTTAAGGAGAGAGCATCATAAGGCATTACGATGAGCTCTGTCACCATCAACATGCCATACTGTCATTATAACACCCTTAAAAGGCTATTTAATGTATGCAGCTATGCTAAGGGATTATGACAGGCTACCAGCACCTGCCAACATGTCAACACTCATTATAATTCATATTTATCATTACAATGCTACCTTCCACTCTACCAATGTTGACTTGGGTCAATGTAACATTTTTCTCATTCTCATTCTTTCATTCTCATCGCAATTCTAAGACATTTTTAAAAAAAAACCCATGTGCATGGCATTGACTACAGTGTACTTAACCACATGGATATAGGTCATAGTACCCTAAACTTGAGGCTAATATAGGAGGATGAAATGATGATGCAGTGATTCCAAGTAGGTGCAGGGTATCTATCAGGGAATAAGGAGTTCATAGCATGTAGGACTTGAGGAATCTGATGTGTTTGATTGGCATTGAGTCAGTGAGCTGCAGTAACTTAAAGCAGCAGTGACCACATACCTGCACTGCCAAAGCCTTGCTGCAGGTCAGATGAATAGCAATCCTGGACCAGCACATGGGGGGTTGGTTGGCAATGCTGACAAGTGTGCACAATGGCTGGGTATAGGAATACTGGGGATGATTGAAGGGAAAGGAAGTTGGCATCATCATCAGTGTCAGTGGTGATTCCATTTTGTCATTGGGGGCAGTGGGGAACTGTCAACATTTAACAAGGGCCAGTTAATAATAATAACTTGATGGTGTGATGGTGACAGGTACTTACTGCTGCAATGGTATGGGTGAAACTGCCTGACAAGTTGGCAGTACAGATGATACCCATGATGATGGTCATGGTAAGGGTGTGGAAGCAAGGAAGTTGCCATGTATTTACAGTCCATTGGATTATATAATAATTCCCATTGGCTGGGTTTCAATACCTTACATTGACAGACAAATTGGCTCAATACTTAGTACAAACATTATTGTTGTCTAGTTTGCATAATGAAGCTGTATGGTAATCTACATGGGGTGTATGACTATGAAAATGTACTAGTAGATACATGCCAGTCACCTGGGGAAACATCCAGCAAGAGACATAGGCACAAACAAGAAAAATCCCAACCCCCACAACAGGGACATACTGTATCAGCACCCATGGTGAGTTGTACCATTTTGGGCAGGCCTCAAAGGCAACCATTATGAAGATGTTGGGCTATATGCAGGAGAAACAGGACCTGGTAGGAATAAACTGCTGTGACCTCACTAATATACAGAAGACACTTACACTGGGCAGGAGCTGTGGAAGAATTGGCAGTCAATACTGGTGGAACTGAGGTCAATGTCATCAATAACTCACAGGCTGGAAAATAACTTGGAGAAGTTGGAATATTTGGGCAAGGAGGGTGACACCAGTGACATGGGTAAGTATTTTGGAGACAAGGGTGGCATTTGTGCAGGGGCTGCAGAGCTGTGAGTGACATAACTACAGATATGACTGAGTTAAATTACTTACAAGCTGGGGGAAGGAGGCAATGAGAAAAGGAATGATCAGTAGAGTGAGTAGGAAAAAAATAAAAGGTTGTACTAGGTGAATCTGGCATGAAGTTAGTGACCCATTTGCTAACAGATAAACACAACTTACATCTCAGAGACAAAGGATGGGCCAGTTGGTGAGTACTGTGGAGATGTGGGACTGAAGGAAGGCAGTTGTGGACTGTACCACAGACTGGTTGGTGAATAACAGGGAGACATGAGATTGAGAGCAGGTGATGTCAGGAAGTATGTTGGTGATGTAGCCCCTTGGCTTCTGTTGTAGAATGGGGATGTCACATGTACCAATGTACCAAATGGTGAGGTCATTCCACTGTATGGAGATTGAGGGACATAAGGTGATGTATGCATTGGGAGAGCTCAGACTATACCCAGGGGGGCCAGTGGGTGACATGTCTCCTGCACCCAAAGGACTCTTCCCATATCCAAGGAATGAAAAGTTGGTGGGATCTTCTCTGCCATTGACAGAAAGGGGTGAGAGGGCTGCCAACTTGCCCTTGAAGTTACTCTCTGACCATGCAGGGGAGTTTGTGTCATATGGCATCATCGCTACTTGGCTTGGTGTCATACTGCAGTCCACATGAGCAGTAAGAATATTTTGCACCAGCAGATGATGATCAACAATGGTGTCTTTAAGTATGTTGATATCCAGTGTGATGTTGAAGGCACCTGTACCCATAGGCACAAGCTGGCCAAACATAACCTCTTTCACAATACCATGACAATCATTATTTTCACCAATGGCAGCAGCTTCCATCAGAATCTCCACCATTTCCTCAAACAAGCACACATCAGGGCACCAGTATCAGGATAGTTAATACTGTGACAGGTGATTGCCATGAGCATTCTGTGATGGGTCAGGAGGTTGCAGGGCAATGCCAGGTGGTGGTACCTTGTATGTCTGCACTTCCTTCTTATATGCTGCAATGACTGTATGTTTGGAGAACTGTAAGTATGATGGAGCGGTTACAGTGAAGTTAGTAAACTGAACATGGTACTAATGTACCAGTGTGAGCTCTGCCACTGCAGCATCACAGGCTTTGTGAAACTCAATGTCATTCTTGAGAGTCACCCAAGTGTCCCCTTTTGCAACACAACCAATGAGATCTAACAAAGTGTCAACTTGCTTCTGATTTAGGCTTGCTTCCAGGGCAATCTACATAAACTCAAAGTCACCAACACCACAGAATGGTCAGTAGGGAGTGTTGTCTGTTGGAGGAACAAACATCATCGAGCACCTTCAGAACTCATCAAAACTTTGACAAAGCAGAGGCTGGTTGCTGCATGGATGAAACTCAGTTTTGAATTCTATTACTTGCTGTGATAGCCAGGGGCATGATGGCTGGGATTGAGAAGTAGTCAACAATCTTGTGCCCATCATAGTATCTGATAGCACTAAAGAGGCATACTTGTAATCATCAAATAGAAAAAAATTAAATTAAGGATCGCACCTGGACTTCCAAGAGGTTCATTCTCATGTGCACTGGCAGGGTATTTGTGTTCTGCAAACTCATGCAGTGGGGCATCAACAATGGGATTTCCTAAGCCAGTTGTGTATTTGGCAGAAGAAGGGGAAGGGAAGCCTTACTTTCATCATTAAATGAGTATATAGATGGGCCAGCCTCATTGCCATTGGGAACAGCAACAAAACTGGAAGGGGAATGTAACATGTTGGGTCCCACATTTTCAGCAGGTGGACCCTGAGCACTACACATTTTCTTCATTGCACAGCATTGTGCTGACTCAGGTGCAGCTCTTGGGAAGTGGTACTTAGGGCAGGTGATGTAGAATGATGCTCACCTTTTTCAAACTGCTCCAAAACTTGGCCATATCATTTGCATTCTTGCTTGGCTCCGGTTTGTTTCCTGCAGCTCACTTCATGCCTCTTGAAACCATGTGGCTTGAATGTCTTGTTGCAATATTCACATATCCAACCTGCTAGAGTCTTTTCAGAATATTTGTACTTTGAGTGGGCCCTTTGAGACAGCCCCATGGTAACAGTAGTCTGTCAATTATGTCAGGTTAATAGCAAGTAATAGTGGGAAGTTAGTGGGTTCTGCAATGGATTGAAGTGATACACACCTTGAAGGGCAAGGATGGCAGTGTGTGATGGTGAAGGGATAACAATCAGCTTGGAATGCCACTTCACTTACATATATTATAGACATGGAGTCATTAGGACTATCCTTACAATACCTTCTGATTATCAAAGATTATCGCAATGTCACATGGCTTATTGAAATGATAGGTAAGGTACAGTTATTCTATTAGATTCCATCAGAATGGTATTGTAATGTACATTATAATGTGATGACACATCATTCAAGGTTGCCAGCATCATAATGGTACTGAACAAATTTGTGACAACCCTGCTGAATGGCCTGAGTATCCTTTCAATATGTTCATAGAACATCTCAGGTGAAGTGATTCACAGTGGTCATGAGTTAGCCCCCAACATGACAAGCAAAAGAACCTTTGCATATCCAAGTTAAATGGCAAATACAGTGTCAAAGGAGCAGTCTGGAAAGTTAGTAGGGGCTTCACAAATGTCTCAGATTGTCAGTGACCATCTATTGCAAAGAGAAAGAGGACAGGCTATGGTACGAAGAGCAAGACAAGAGCACTTGCCTTAAACTTGAGTTTGATGGTAGGTTTGAAGTAAACTTGAGTGGGGCTTGAATGTCTGTGAAGACAGTAGATTGTTTGGTTGAATGATAGGGAGTAAGGTAGAAATCCCCAAGTTTATATACATGCAGATATATGCACAGACCAGTAGCATATAAGGAAACTACTACCATGTATAGTATAGAATAGCAGAGAATGCTATGGAATATGATGCAATAAGTGATGTCATTCTGATGTCACTGTGGAGCTGTATTACTGAGCATGTCATATGATGTTACATGTGTATCAAAACATGTAAGTCTAGAAGTGATCTAGACAGTTGGAACTATTACCATATTTCCAACACCATCAGCCAAGATCTTGTATGGAACAATGGACTAGAATGCGAACCGTGATGGTAAGTGAATTTAGCTGCAAGACCTGCCTTCTCCGCAGCGATTCTTGCCCTTGAAATCTATTTAAATGCTGGTCAATCAGGATGCCTGGATGGTGATGAAGGCTACAGACAAGACGACTACTGTCTGTGTCGATCCCGACGATATTGACATTGGTCGATTGAACGGGGTATCGAGATACGGTGCCGCTACCGCATGCTACAGCTAGAACAGCTTTTCTGAGATCTCAGGGAAAAGAGACTGAAAACGATGTGTTGATGGCGAGCCACTACATTGGGTAGGCTATTGTCTTGTTCAATCCTCGAGAAGTGAAAGGCATCGTACGAACAAAGGCCCTTCCCCAGCTCTGTTGGGAACCACGTAAAAAAATCCGGGAAACACTAATACCGAGTGCAAGACAATATTGAGCAGGTGCCCTCGGACTCTAATTTTCAGGTGATCCTACCTGCTGCAAAGTGTGACACAAACAACTCTCTTCGACTGTAGATATGTTCGTATGGGTTGGACGGACCCATGTAGTAATGTCGCGTAGTCATTGAAGGTTCTTTCACGCTGACTATTCATTCATGTTCCATAACGAAGCTTGATTAGGAACTGAAGCTCGAAAATCGAGCACGATGCAGTGCCAGAATCAAAGGCAGCCATGTGTTTCGTCGAACGCCCGAATATGAATATGATGGCGTGGGTCAGGCTATCAAGGTACTTGGAGCCTGCAGCAAGAAGAATCACATGTCACTGCCCAGGCTGCCATGAGCTTGATAGGCTAGTCCATGATTCCGTTGCACGATGAGCAGGTGGTCTTCACACTTACGGTTAGTGAACGGTGTGAAGAGAAAGGTTGTCAGTTGCGCAGTGATCTTTGATCTTGAATGCAGTGTTTCTGTTGCGCGCACTGGCGGCCGGCCTTCAAGTTAACATCGAGGGTTTATCGATGTTACAGTCTTGGACGAATTCGTTCGTCTGTTTCAGAAACGCCACCGTAGGGCGGTGATCGTTAATGGGGTCTAGTAGTGCGGCCCCTTCGGCATATGGAGCGGGTCATACCAGCACATGCCCCGTCGCAAGTAGATGCCGCAGGCGACACAGGTGCTCCGCTGATATCCTTAATATCCCATTTTGGCATGGGTTCCCTTACATTGGTTCCTACCCAGGTTAACTGACATGTCTTTGATGGAATGTTGCAAACCACCCAATCGTCCGATCGGTGATTGGGTTCTCGCGGGCGGGCTGCTGAGCTCAGGTCTTGTGGCCAGAGGTTTCGAAACTGACCGACGGAGAAGGACTATCAAAAGCTGAGCGCTGCGAACGGATGCAAACCAATTATTATGTAATTAGGGGTAGGTAGGTTCGCGAAATTTGGGCCCCTGTAGTACCCGGATGGGTTTGCTCTTTTTAACTTACAAGTTAATGTAGTGAAATGTCCCAAGCAGAGAGTGCAGCTGCGTGAACCTTTCTCGTGACAAGCCCTTGAAAGTGCTTGATGAATTGATACACTCACCGAAGGATCCGGGCTGGATGTCAAGCTACGGGCGAAAAACTAGCCAAATCACAGTGATCATGCGGTGACCTACGATGTCCGGGCTGCCAACCTATTCTTGAACTCTATGATTTGGAGTGTGCCACTGGTTTAACGAGATCTCCGGGAACTCAACTGCAAGTCACACCCTGGATTGACCACCTTTGATTCCAAAGAGCTATGCCCTGTATTGTTTAAAAGCAAACTCTGAGACTCTGTGTAATGCTCACTGCGCCTTCTAACTTTTAGGTTATGGCCTTATTGGACACGGTCGTCGTGGTCACTTTTGCGTTCATCGCGATTGTGTTCGTATCGTCTCATTTCCGCCGCCCTCGTGCGGGAGAATATCCCCCTGTGGTACCTAGCTTCCTTCCGTACATCGGCACAGGCATCCAATACATCCGTAATCCAAGCGGATTCCTGGGGAGCTGTCTGTAAGTGCCCCTTCGTCGAACCTGTACTGACTAGTATACCAACACCACCTTGCATCCAGTAAAGAATATGGCCCGGTCTTCAAGACGCGTATTGGTGGCCGACAGCTGATTGTCATCTCCTCCCCCGACGGCATCAACGCAATCCTGCGAGACCAACACAACGTTTTCAAAAGTGATTTCATGCATATCGAACTGATCAAGGCAATCGCTGGACTCCGGGAGAACCTCCTGCCCTTGCAAGAGATCCTACAGCATCAGATAGCTCCCATGGTCGGACGTACCTTGGCCAAAACTTCAATGCGCAAGTTTACAACAACTTATGTGGAACGGCTTCTGCAGGAGATGAACACGTTTGTCGCGCGTTCCGAGAAGGGGACGAAGGCCGTGTCATTAATGGAGGTCGTGGGCAGAAGTCGGCTTGCAGCGGTGTGCCATGCACTTTTTGGCCCATCGTTCACCGATGATATTTACAACGACATGAACCGTTTGGACGAGAGCATTTACGCGAGACTGCACATGGTCCCTTTCAACTGGCGGCGGTCCGCAGACGCGCGCAAGCGCCTCATCGATAGGCTCAGCACTTACATCGCCCAGGCAGAGGAAGGTAGCACATTGGGGGATCTCATGTCGGGTACAGTCGACATCTTCAGGGCAAATAAGCTTTCCCTGGAAGAAAAGGCCGGGCTGCTGCTTGTCTTCCTCTGGGGATTGTACGCAAATTCGACGAACGTAACCTTCTGGGCACTGGCGGAAATTCTGGCGGACAAGAAGCTCGCCGCACGGCTGCGTGCAGAGATCGACGGAGTAGTGCACGCGCAGGGGGTTATCGGGAGGGACGACGCTCCGTGTGTCACTGACCTTCCCACTTTGCTCCGCGCAGACGCACACGCGCTTGATGGGTCCGGTCTCTCACTACTTGACTCGGTCGTCCAGGAGACGATACGATTAAGGCAAATATCAACACCCATAAGGCAGGCATCATGCGACACAGGATTGGTCGTGGACGCGGGAGCGGGTCAGCGAGTGATGGTACGCAAGGGGGAGTATGTGTTAGCGCATCTGATGGGGGCGCATTGGGACGGACGATGGTATGAACAGCCGAACAGATTTATGCCGGACAGGTTTGCGACGAGCAGGTATGCAAGCGGACTGGAGGGGACTGATGGCGAGTCCACACGGCCAAAACGAACCGGACTGCCGTTCTTTATTTGGGGAGGCGGACGTGAAATCGTAAGTGACCGCCACGGTTATGGTCTGAGTAGTCGGAGAACTGAAATGTTCTCTTTTCGCCGCAGTGCAAGGGACGGCACCTCGCCGTCTATGAAATAAAGCTCCTCGTCGCGCTCTGCGTGTACCACCTGCGCATCACGCACGCGGACTCCGACAAACATGAATTCGGCCTCGGATGGACGAACCTGTTGCCCCCCAGAGCGAAAAAACAAAGTATCGGCGTTCAGCAGACAGAACATGATGTGATGGTGTGGATGAACCCGGCAGGGGGAGGAAACTGATTTGTTCGTAGTATGTCCCCGAGATACGTGTCGATAAGTAAGGTGGCTGTTGTAATAGACAAACTGGGAAAGTGCATGGAGAGCAGTACTAAGCATCATTGCAAATGGCTCGCATCCAGACAATGAGGCCATCGGGTGTCGCGCACAATGGCTACAAACGACGAACATGAGTATATCAATACTGACAAGCGAGAAATCACAGGGTCAACCCTGAGTACTTGAGTCCCAGATGCTCGTCCTAGCAAAAACACCAGTGCAGCAACGTACCTGGTATCCATGCCGAAAAGTGTTCGCAACAGACATGCCTGTCCTATTCGGAACAGCAAAAAACTAATATAGAACGCTAGCAGTGAAAGCTAGCAAACTAGGCGCTTCTTGAGAGGAGTTCTCGAGAGTCTGGGCCGTACCAATCGCCCGTACCGATACCATCCCCACACAGATACCATTGAACGAGTCATACACTGCATAGGAGGGCTGGAACCGCTCCGGAGATGCCATGGGAACTTCCCGGTGAAGTGTCTCTTGTGAAACCAACCACACGGACTGGAGAAGTGTAATGGGGGTGGTATGGCAGGCGCAACGCAAGCCTTTGCAATTTGACGATGCGATCGTCTTCACTCGAGTGAAGTTGGGAGACTATAAGTGCTGTCACGAAGATCAGTAAGTATACACCGTTGAATAGGATGACATCAGTGATGCATATACCCAACTAGAAACGGATCAAGGCACAATAGGCGGTTCCGGCTTGGTGTACAGTTGAACAAACCCTCCCATACATAACTTGCCTATGTACGCCGATCGGTTGTAAGAAGAAGTAGAATCAAATCGAAACCTCCTAGGAGCATATTCCCCACAGCTGACTGCCATACAATTACGCTGAGAGCAAGCGCAGAATCAAAGACGACACACGGTGCATTCCCTGAAAGCATGCCCAGGTATGAGTCGGTTTCGTCACATCTTCAGTACCCTGGCAGAGTGTTGGCAGAAGTGACTAGTGACAGCTCACAGGGAATGACGAACAGGTTCGTGATTGGCAGGAGTTGCTACCACTGAGATTTCTTGCTTCTCTTGTTCGTCCTAAAAGGGCGATTACATAAACTACTGTAAAAAAACCCCAAAACATGCCTAAAACTGGCGGGTGACGTGTCGCTTGTGTCAGTGACGAGGTCGCTATCAGTTACGAGTTTATTGGCGAGAGTACACGTTTGAGCATGTTACCATGCACAATGATTTCAGTATTGGGTTGGTGTACCCCGTGGTTTCTGCTCCATTTCCTGGGAAGAAACTCATCACCCCGCCTTCGCTTGTAGATCTCAAGTCCAACATCAGGATGCGAAAAAATGGTTTAAACCTGTTTAAACCCATCACTGACTGGTCGTGACTGCGATTCTGTCATTCCCCATTTCTCTGATGAATCTCTGAGTGATCGTGGTTGATCATCAACTTCGCAACAACTCCTCATCATTGTGCACAACCTCATTATCATGTTCTAGTATCTGGGTGTCATCTGTAGTGTTACATTTGCACAAATATTAAGTGCAGGAAATGTGCACAAAATAGCATGGGACAAACTTACAGTAGTGTGGGAAAACTTGCAGTAGGTGGGAAATGTACTTCCAGTACACAGCTAAGTGGCAGGGGGGTCAAATTTAGGTCAAGAGGGGTGTATATTTGTGTGAGGTAGTGTATTACACCTCATTTAGCATTTTCATCAAATACTTTATAGACCAAGTAAATAACAGCAATGGGTCCCATTGTATGGACTGAGGGGAGCCCTCAAAAGGAATGATGTACACATGTCACACTTAATGTTGCCACAGTGTGAGACCAGAGGTAAACTTGAGGTTCAGGCCATAGTCCATTATAACACTGTAAGAATGTAGTGTCTACTGTTATGAATTACATTCAAATACTGACAAGGTTTATATAATTGGAGGGTCCAATGTAGTACTTTATTAGCATAATATCTATAGCCATTAAATAGAGAATATGCAAATAAATGTCAAATAGCCTACATGGGTTCATTGTATTGTTATTGAGAATCATACCTTGCAAATGATGACTTGCTATGGCTTGGGTTGCACACATATAATGTATAAGTCTCAAGAAATGCATATCATTAATCAATGTTCAATGATGATATTATGATACAAAGTTTGCCAAGCTATGGAGTAGGGTATCTAAGCCCATGCCATAGCACCCTGGAGAACCTTGTGCCATTCGATCATGACACATTCAAATGGAGGGTGAGAATGTCATCCTCAGCAGGGAACTGCAGCAGATCCAACTTCAAAGTGTTGTGATAAAACCTGTTGGGACATTTGAGTTGCAGGTGACAGGATTGGAGGGAAAAAGGTGCAAACATGTTTATGAATCTTTGACATTCTGCTGGTGTACCTTCATTACAAGCTTCCTTTATGATCTCTGTTATGCCCAAGCGCAGTGGCTTCTTCAAATGGAATAGACACAATGTGCACAAGGGGGAGTCTATGGGCTGAACTTATTGTAGCCCCTATGGCTCAGTTATCTCTAAAGTCTGACAAAGGTTCTGTCTTCTGGCGATCCATCTTATGAGAGGGAGCACAGAGAGAGAATGAGGACGAGAGAGAAGGAAGTTAGCTGAGTTGCAAGCTATCAAAAAACTGAGGATACAAAGTAAAGTATGTGAGGTTATATACTGCTAAACATGAGTACCGTACCAGTCGCAAGAGACACGTATCCGCAGTAATCAACAAAACAATCAATGAAATAAATAAGAGTCATACAGTGTCACATGATGGGGGTAGGGAGGCAACAAAGGCTATACCGGCTGCGCAATCAATGCGCAGCAAGGAGCCTGACACCGGACCTATTGTACAACATCCAAGCAACATAGATGAGTCAGAAGTGAGTCAGCAGATCATGAAAGAAACAAGTCATCCATCAGAGAGGGTGGTGGAATACTGGATCATGTGGGTAGTACACTGTCAACAGGAATTGGCAACACCTTGACAGCAGGTGATCCAAAGGACCCTTCCAACATATGGGCCCATAGGATGGCAACAGTTATCAGGGATGCAACGAGACACATGACACACGTGACCATGAGGAATCGAAAAAGGAAGGACCCCTGATGGAAGTGTAACATCACCCCCCCCTCTAAGGTCCTCAGACCCTTGAGGACAAACCAGATGCATTAGTGGGGTGGGAGGAAAGGGGTTTGCGAGTAGTATACATGTGGGAGTGAGTGCAAGCGGTGATGGGTGATGTAGGCGATGGAGATGTTGGTTCCTTGAGGGCCAGAGTAAAGCAGGAGCCATGTCCATTGCAGCATGACCAATGTCCCAAGTAACGGCATTGGAAGCAGGTGTGTTGATAGAGGACATGGTCAGCCGGGATGGGAGACTGCCCTCCAAGATAGAACCAAAGTTGATCAAGAGGGATGGGGACGAAGGGAGTTGCAGGGAGAGGGTTGGTGGAATGGACAGCATTATGATAGTGTTTGTGAAGCCCAACCCATGACGCATCCTGTAACAACACCTCCCAAGTGGAGTTGTAAGTCCCAGTTCCTAGACGAGCACCAACCTCTTTAAAAAGGTCTCTGGAGCTGACATATGAGAGTTCCAGCACTTTCCACTGGTCTTCCTTCTCACGTTCCGCCTTCCTTGCTGCTTCTTCTTCATGGGAAGCCGATGGTTCCTCTTGCTTTGGGCAAATGCAATCAAGAAGGTGAGAAGCAGGTGGCGCAAGAAACTTGCCAATCTGTTGATGGAGAAGATGGTGATAGGCTCCACCCGTAATAGCCTCTAAAAGCCCTGATGAGCATCATTCCAACATATTCATATTTACCATGATGACTTCTGACAATGGGGCAGTGCCAGAGAGCTTTCAAGTGCATATTTTGGAGACAGTGGAGTTTATCACGTCTGTTGCTCTGTAGATCTCAGACAACAGCCCAAAATACTTAACCTGTTCTGGTGAGCACCCATCAATGTTGTCCCCATCGTGGGAAGACATCAAGTGCCCTAACAACATCCAGGTAGTCACTTGCTGTGATTGGTAGTCTTTGCTTGTCATCCCTGGCAAGGGCAGTGGAGGTGAGCATGTCAAGCACAGCATGCTGACTTCCATTGGAGTAGGTTGTGAAGGCGGTGTGAAGGTTGGCAGGTTTGGGAGCATGGGGTTCATGGGCTTTGGCTGTTCCTGTATCGGGGTCATCACTAACCCTTGCCTTACCCTTTCCCTTTCCCTGGCAGTTACTGTCCCCCTTTGTGGGGACTCTGGCTGTGGGGGTGGGGACCCTCTTGACCAAGAAGCCTGTGAGTGGACATGGTTGGAGAGAGTGGGCAACAGGGGGAGATGGCAAATGAGGTTGCAAGACTGGGGACAAGGGGTACGAGCCAGAAAAACCAGTGGCAGTTGTTGGAGGTGAGGCTGGGGCATAGACAGTGATGGGGGGTACAAAGACTGGGTCAGGGTCATAAAAGGATTCTCCAGCAATGGGGAGGTTGGCATAGTCATTCTCAGTGTTGACAGAGTGAGGAGAGTCCATTTAATCTTTGAGATGGCGGGCATGCTTGTACTGGTCAAGGGCTTCTGAAGCATGGTCTTTTATATGTTCCTTGGGTTCCCAAGTATTTGATGAATGGGGGAACCCTTTCCATTTAACCAAATACTTTCGTTTACCTCTGTGCCCATCCATCTTATGATTGATGATTGTTTCGACCTCCCATTCAATCTCATCATCAACAAGCTCTGGTAGCAGTGTGGGTGGGGCTCGTCCATAGGTGTCATTTTCCTGATAAGGATAAATTTGAGAGGCATGGAAAACCAGGTGAACTTTCCACATTGGGGGTAACTCCAGCCAGAAGGCAATGGGCAATACCACCTGAGTCACTGTGAAAGGTCCGAGACGTCAGGGTGCAATCTTGTTGCACTGGTTCTTGATGCGAAGGTGCCTGGTATCCAGGAGGACTTGATCTCCTACCTTGGGTGCAACATAGGAACCTTTCGAGCATGAACACATCAGGTCCTGTGCTTTCTTGTGAGCAAGAATGGCGACATCATGG